TGTGACACTTGGAATGTAGAAAATATTGTGGATGAAAATGGAGAGATATAAAGCTTGGATGACAAAATAATACGCAGTTGAAAAGGTTGACAATAGGACCTATGGAGGGGTCTCTAGATTCGGGGAAATCTCTGAAGATGGTTATGTACCGTATTTTTTGCTCTATAGGACGCACTTTTTCCCTTCCAAGAATTAAGGGGAAATGTGTGTGCATTTTATGGAGTGAGTGCAGGCTCCTTGGCTTCAGCGATAGCAATGCGAAGCGCAGAGGGAGCGCTCCCTCCGCGCTCCGGAGGCTTCACGTTGCTCCCGCTGTGCTCTGGAGGCTTCAGGCAGCTATCCCTGAAGTCTGGAGAGCGAGAGGGGTCAGTGCGCACCAATCACTCTTGCTCTCCTGGCTTCGCTTCGCTGGAGAGGCGCTGCACAGCTTTCCCTCTCTGCGCAGCGCCCCTTCAGCGAAGCGGGAGGAGAAATGGAAGGGGCTCCGTTTCTCCTGCCGCTTCGCTGAAGGGGCGCTGAGCAGAGAGGGAGAGAATTTTTTTTCCTTGTTCTCCCCCTCTAAAACAAGGTGCGTCCTATAGTTGGGTGCGTCCTATAGAGCGAAGAATACGGTATTTTGTACTGTTAAAATTTTATAGTTGTAAAATCAAATAAAAATTATTTCAAAAAAAGATGAAACCTCTTGGGAGGTTTGAAGGATGGAAAGGACAGGAGTGAATCAGGAGACATTGGGACCCCATTTCATCCTAAGGGTGGAATCCAGTGGAGGCGAAGGAGATTGTTCTGCTAGCCTAATCTCCCCCCGATATGCTGTCCTGGGGGTTCCCCCAACCTTCTTGAGTGGATTTGGGGAAGGCGTTGGGTGAGGATGGGGAAAGCTCTTTTGAGATAGCAGGATTCCTTGTGCTAACTTCTGCCAGCGGAACAGGTTAGCTGAATCCAGCCCTATATATGTGGATCCTTATAAAAACAAAACAATATACCGTACTTTCCCGTCTATAACACGCCCCCATGTATAAGAGTCTGGGGGACTCTAATTTAAGAAAATGGAGGGAGATGGCACAGAGTTGTTGAGCTTTTTTGGGGGGAGGGGATTACCCAGGGTTGTTGAGCTTTTTCTAGGAGGATTGCCAAAAATTGCTCGGCCACACACATCAATAAATCAGCCACTGCCAGCAGAAGGTGACAAACTGCCAGAACGTCAGCCAATCAACACGGTCTTTCATGGACAAGCGGATCAGCTGGCTCAGGGAAACATCAAGGTTTGCATAAGTCAGGGGTCAGCAACCTTTTTCAGCCATGGGCCGGTCCACCGTCCCTCAGACCTTGTGATGGGCCGGACTATATTTTGAAGAAAAACGAACGAATTCCTATGCCCCACAAATAACCCAGAGATGCATTTTAAATAAAAGGACACATTCCACTCATGTAAAAACACGCTGATTCTTGGACCGTCCGCGGGCCGGATTGAGAAGGCAATTGGGCCGGATCCAGCCCCCGGACCTTAATTTGCCTACCCCTGGCATAATAAGGATGGGGCACCAGAAAGGGGTGGATGCCACCCAAAACAGTCCAGGACTGAGCATGCTCAGTGAGTGCCAAATGCTTGCTGTTGAGGCCACAGAAAACAGGAATGGGGTGGAGTATCCTGGAATAGGGTTTGGCCGGGACTTTGGACCAGAAGCACTTTACGCTGCAACATTTTGTTGAAGGTCAAACTGGTGTGCAAATATTAAAATGACTTGTTGCCTAGTCTATTGTAGGACCGTAGCTCCGGGGGCACAGCACCATGTTGAATCTCCACTAATAACTTTGGACGATGCTTTCACTCATTGAGCTCCCATTTCCTCCATTTCTTTCCCCTCTACTTCGTTTCACAAAACTTTATAAGAAGCCAATCAGAAATAACAAGGTGCTCAGAAATCCCAGAAAAGTGGTCCACTCCTTTTTCATGAAAAGTTACGTCTCTGCACGGCTGTTGTGCCACTCAATTACTCACCCTTTAATAGCCCACCGTGTTTCCCTTGGCTCGAAGCGAGATATTTTCTCTGCACATTCACCAGCGGCTTCTCGCTTCCCCAGCCATGAGCCATTACCTGATTTCTTCATCAGAACTGACACTTTTCACCCGAGTGTCAGTCTATTAAACCGAAGACAGAAACCTTATTTGTTCAGCAAATATTAGCTTGACCTCTCAGGACTGTAAAACCGGGGAGCGGAGATATAAAACAGAGGGACCCCATTGAGATGACTCGTTCTCTGGGGAGACTTGCTAAAAACTTGGCCAAGCACCATTCGGAGATTTGGGTTTATGACTTATCGGGCAATTGGCGGCAGAGGAGAATGATTTATGTATTTATGCCCCTGAAAGAAAACAATCCCTTCTCGCATCCAAGGTATGGGCAGGACTTTATTGTATGACGGTGCAAAACTTATTTTTAAACAGCACGGCTGTCTAATCCACGATAGACAGAGGCGCTTTGTAGCCACAGCTGTCTGCGGTCAGCGCTAGAGTGAAAATGTCGCAGTTGTGGAGCACAAATCCTATAGCAGGAGGGTGGCAGGGGGGAAAGGGGGATTTTCAACCTTTCCTCCTAGGTAACCTTGTCTCATACTGAACACAAATGGTGAAAAAGACTATGACTAAAAATGGAGATGCAATGTGTACTTTTCCTTGTTTGTTTGTTTTGTAACAGAAGAAGATATTTAATAAACACTATTGTTTAAAAAAGATCATGGCCACTGGTCCCATCACCTCCTGGCAAACAGAAGGGGAAGAAATGGAGGCAGTGAGAGATTTTACTTTCTTGGGCTCCATGATCACTGCAGATGGTGGCAGCAGTCACAAAATTAAAAGACGCCTGCTTCTTGGGAGAAAAGCAATGACAAACCTAGACAGCATCTTAAAAAGCAGAGACATCACATTGCCGACAAAGGTCCATATAGTTGAAGCTCTGGTTTTCTCAGTAGTAATGTGTGGAAGTGAGAGCTGGACCATAAAGAAGGCTGATCGCCAAAGAATGGATGCTTTTGAATTATGGTGCTGGAGGAGACTCTTGGGAGTCCCATGGACTGCAAGATCAAACCTACCCATTCTGAAGGAAATCAGCCCTGAGTGCTCACTGGAAGGACAGATCCTGAAACTGAGGCCAGCTCATGAGAAGAGAAGACTCCCTGGAAAAGACCCTGATGTTGGGAAAGATGGAGGGCACAAGGAGAAGGGGACGACAGAGGACGAGATGGTCGGACAGTGTTCTCGAAGCTACCAGCATGAGTTTGACCAAACTGCGGGAGGCAGTGGAAGACAGGAGGGCCAACAACAGTATCGGGAGGAGCTGCTGCTGACTTTATTCGTCCCTATTTGCCTTCCCGCAGTTCCTCCAAGGCTCCTCTCATCACCTGGACCAATACATCCCTCCCCCCCCTCCTTACATCAAGTTTACTTCTGCTAACGTGCATCGCTTCTGACCTCCCATCAGCACCAGAGCTGGATCTGACCCAAGACCCACCTGGGTACCTGATCTGTGACCCAATACCTCCGCCCTGGCCTGACGACACACCTCAGCCCTGACCTCGGAGCCCCTGCTGCTCTTGCAGGCACAAGCAGGCAGCCAAGGTTGGCGTACGTCAATTGCGACGCCAACAGGGAGCCAGCCACCTGCTGCTCCCAGCCTGGGGTTCAGAAGCTGCCAGCCTGCCGATGTTTCTTCCCCATTGAAATGGTGGCCTTTCGCTCTCTCCTTATTAATATCATGCACAGAGGTTAATTTGGAGCCATTCCCAGACCTCAAAGCAGCAAAACAGCTTGACCTTTCTGCTAACAAGAAAGCCAGCTTCCTTGCAGGCCTGGATGTAGCAAGCGCCAAGGTTTGAATGCTTTTTCTTCTTCTAATTGCTAATTAAAGTTATATGCCGCCCTTCATCCGAAGATCGCAGGGCGGTTTGCAACAGAAAAGCGCAAAATGCATCATTTTACAGGTTCCTGGCTGCCTGCAAAGGCACTCCCCAAAGGCTCAGAGGCACTCTAGCTCCACATGCCCTAGGGCGGAGCTGTGGATTGAATTGTTATTACCATATATACTCGAGTTTGAGCTGATTTCTTCAGCAAATTTTTTATGCTGAAAAAGCCCCCCTCGGCTTATACTCGAGTATATACGGTATGTCCTGAGTTCTAATGACTTGCCTGCATACTGAAACAATTTTGATTCTGAGCAGCAGGAACGCAGGAACCTTCTTTGCTCGGAGACTGGCCCTCAGGGCCATCCTGCAAAATGGTCTTGCTCGGCAAAGGCAGTTTCCTATGTTCCAGCTGCAGGTAGCACTGAATGGATGTGAACGGGATGCTAAGGCAAAAAAAGGCACAACTCCCTCTAGAGACAATGTGCAGCATTACAGGGAGAAATGCAGTCAAATCATTTTGGACCAGATTTGAAGTCTCCCTGGGACTCCCTGGTCCTGAATGGGGCAACTGTGCCCCCGAAGGACCAGGTGCGCAGCCTGGGAGTCATTTTGGACTCACAGCTGTCCATGGAGGCGCAGGTCAATTCTGTGTCCAGGGCAGCTGTCTGCCAGCTCCATCTGGTACGCAGGATGAAATCCTACCTGCCCGCAGACTGTCTTGCCAGAGTGGTGCATGCTCTGGTTATCTCTCGCTTGGACTACTGCAATGCGCTCTACGTGGGGGCACCTTTGAAGGTGACTTGCTGATGGGTGAGCAAGATGAGCCCAGCTGTCATGTGACTGCTTCCTCCGTCCAAAGGAAAGGGTCGACAGCAGGCTCAGCAGCTCAAAAGCCCCTTCTGAAATCCCTGGCTGCCCTGCGATAGGTGAGGAATTCCAGCTGGCTTTTAAATTATACGTGTATTTGTACTTCTGAACATGATAGAGACAGTTCTTGGACGACTTCATCCTTAAGTATTCGGTTGCATGGAAAAACCTTCAAAGCTCAATGAAAATCCTTTAGCCAAGCGGTAGTATCACAAGTTCACACACAAAAACATCTCTTCAGCAAGATTTTTTTATTTATTTAAAAAAAATGTTTAGCAGAAGACTGCATCTTTATTTAACATTTTGCTTTTTTGCCCCAACATAAACATCTGAGCACACAAAGGAGGAAGGGGAAAGTGTTATTTTATTGGGAAAGAGTTTTTAAAAAAAGATTGGCAAAAAATGGACTAAGTCTTTCCAGCAGAGGCCTCCTATTTCATATTAAAAAACAACCAACGCTAACCCAAGGATGTGAAGCCTTACTCAGCTGTTGGCCTGAACTCCTTAGAGTAGTCTCACTCAACATTGTGCCCTCCATGTTTTGGGCTGTAACTCTCTCACCAGAACATCCCTGCTGGTTGTGTCTGGTGAGAATTAATAGTCAAATTAATCTGGAGGGCAGCAGGTTGGGGAAGGAATGGTCGTAGGCGAGGATGCCAAACCCACCTTCCCATGCGTAGGGGAAACCTGGGATGAGAAGGTCAAGCAGGATCGTCTGTCAGGAAGGTCAGCCTGCAGGCCTGGGCTAAGGCTTGAATGCACTTCAGTATAAAATCAGCAACTACAAGAACACCATGCTGAACGTGAAACTCCCAAGGACGCCAGCCAGAGGTGTAGGCCGGTTCGTGCATCTGCAACAGCCGTGAACAGATTCTGATCCTTCAAATAATGGATTTCAGAAACCAGGCTGTAGTTTCAGTAGGGGCTTGGGGAGGGTGAGAAACCTCCACTGCTAAGCCTCAAAATAAAAATATTATTTCTGTAATATACAGGGTTTGAATAATGAACCCCTTTTGTTTTTCCTTTGGCCTGGGCGGCATCTATAATAGGCAAATGACTTTCTTTTTTTTAATGTCACCAGCAGCTCTACCTGCTACTCTATTTTGGTTGTGGTTTAATGAGTGGCTGTGGAAGACCACCCACTCCACCGCTAGACCTAAACCAAACCAGAATGGAGTTCTTGCCCTCTCTCAATGTTTCATTGAACGGATCTGTCCAAACTGCAGCATTGTGAGAAGAATAGCCAGTCTCCTCCCTGCTCCTTTCCTTTCATTCTAACTTTTAAAAAAAGAGTTGGATCTTCCGAAACAGGGTTGCTTGTCATTTGGTTCCTCATTAACAAGTGTTTTCTCCATTAAAGGGGTGGTGGACACACCGTGCTTGGCAGTTGATCAAGGAAGCCAACCAGTCAGAGACTCCATCCTACCTTGTTTATGCTAAAACTGATACAAACCCCATGCAAGGCAGCAGCTACAGGTGCTCTTTGGTTGGGCTCCCCTTCTGAACGACAGGAGGAAGACGAGGAGGGCAAAAGATCATTTGGGCAAAAGCCCCATACAAACAGAAGGAGCGAAGAGGGCAGTCCAGGCTGGTTCTGAATTGCTTCTCATTTCCAGTGTTTCTCAGAACAGAGGCAGCCTGCGTCAAGACTCACGGCCAGAATACTCTTTTCGACATTTCTAAAGTTGCCATTGCTTGTCCCGCCTTTCACAGCATTTTGCTGAGACAAGGAAAAAGCCCCACCAAGGTTCTTCAGCTATCGCTGCCCTTCCGCATAGCTACAAGAGCAGGCAACTGTGTGAAGGGCCCGCTAGATTTCCCTTCCAAATAGCTGCCTGGCCCCAGAGAAACCTTGAAGACTCCATCAAGCTCTCTGAAGGCACCACTGTGAAGAGAAAGGGTTGGGGGTGCGACAGTGATAGCTGGTGGGGACACTGAGTCACATCACATTTCGTTGACCTGAGCCAGTGGGAGAAGCCAGCCCACCTGCGGGGCTTGCCGCAGGACGGGGCGGCTAAAAGAAAAAATTGGCCTTTACATATAGAGATATATATTTAACAGGCCCGCACAAAGCAAATTAATTTGATTCTCAAACAGCGGCTCTGTTGCCTCAAGTGGCTGCTTTCTAAGCAGCTTTGGCACCAAGAGGTTCCCACGTGTGGTGAGTCTCGTTTCCTGGTTCCGGAGAAAGCCCACTTACACGGTAAGTATTTGTGCCTCAAAAACGGTGGCAGCCTGCTCTGACGCAGCTTCTGCAAACCAGGCAGTGGCTGGAGCTCATTTCTTCTGGAAGAAGCCCATGATGGAAGCCTGCTTGTTGGCCTTCGTAGCTCTCTTTGCACCTCTCCTCTCCTCCTTCGGCTCCTTCTTGGCAGCCCCGGCAGGCGGCTTGCGAGCCGCGGAGGGCTTGGAGCGGAAGTCGCCCTCGCTGTCTGTGCAGGACTCGCTCTCGTAAACCTTTTCGGTCACTGGAAACAAAAGGGCGGCGTGAACCGGTTGCACCACTGGAAAGTCCCTGATTCTTGCAGCCTCTGGGTTACCCAACAGTCTCTTAAAACTGCCCCAGATCAACCCCACAATTCTGAAGGCCATCATACGAGGCAAGCAAGGCACGGACTCCTGATTGCTGCCCAACCCAACTCCCATCTTTCCTTCACCATTCTTCTCCTGCAGAACTATATTCCTGGGCCTGCTGGTCTTTCCTCACCCTTAGACTGAATCCATATACAGTGGTACCTTGGGATGTGAACGGGATCCGTTCTGGAGCCCCGTTCGCATCCAGAAGGAAATGTAACTAGCGACAGCATGTCTGCACACGCACGTGCCGCTTTCTGCGCATGCGCGTTACGTTATTTTGAGCGTCTGCGCATGCGCGAGCGGTGAAACCAGGAAATAACGCACTCCTTTACTTCTGGGTTGCCGCGGAGTGCAACTCGAACGCGTTCAACATGAAACATATTCAACCCGAGGTATGACTGTAGTATGAAACCCCTGACGCAAGCCATAATAGCTTGGCTCCCAATAGGAACCCAAAGTTAAACATGGGAGGAGTGGGAAATCTCTCTGGATTGGACACCTAGAAATCCTCTACATACCTACGACCCAAATGCTCCTAATCCCAACCCCTGACAGACGTACATATACAAATACAAACATTCTGGAAGTTTGGCAAAGGCAACATTCAGATCTCTGACTTGAATGTATGGCTAGGCTTCTTCTCCCATCCAAACAATTCTCACCACGATTCCGTTCCAATCTTTCTTTGCTACACCAAACCGCCTGCCAAGAACACACCAGAGGTGCGGGTAGCAAATGAACCGGGCCGGATCTGGACTGCAAATCCGTAATGTCAGCATTCCACAGAGGACTATTTATTCCAAGTGGTGAAGGAAAGCTTCCCACTCTTGACATGTTTAGAAAAGACTGAAGTTAAAGAGTAAAACCCACACTTTCTTTGGAAGGGGAGGGGGGTCCATCTTTGTTATTGCAAGCTCTGGATGCATCCTTTCGGAGGGGTGGGGGACGGGGGGGGGGAAGGTTGGCTGAGGATAGACAGAAAAGAAAGAGCCTGTTTCTTCGGAGGCGCCTGAAGTGGAGGCCAGAACACTTGGCCAAACTTGGAAAGTCAGATCCTTAATCCATTTCTAACCTGACAAAACCCAGGCCAGAGGCTTGCATGACGAATGTGCACCAAGGGTTTCTCATCAACAGACGGACAGACTTCCCCACTTTCCTCCAGGCTCCCAAGGCCCCCACTTGCAACGGGTCTTGGGAAAGGGGTCCTACACAATATGACAGCGCATTCCGAGCTTGGCAGGGTAACTTAGGATGCTACGCAAATTGCACCGCACCTGTTAATACAGAGCCCAAAGGGATTTGCCTTCCTGTATCCAACAGCACCTCGCTGTTTTTGCTACTGTTTACGTTACTTAATTGATCAGTTAAAACGAACACGGTTCATTGGTTAATCCCAGGACAGCTCCACGCTAAGCCTCACCTATGCAGCCTTCCTCATCAACAAATGTTTTGGACTTCAGCACTCGCTTCCGCTTCCGTTTTTTCTCTCCTGCCGATGCCTGAAAAAGAGGACAGTGCAGACTGTGAAGATGGTGTGCAGTGAACGTTGCGACAAACAGCATCTACTTTTTTGCCCCTTTCTAGTGGCTGCCTGGGACCCGGGGAGGGGCTCAATGTGCTACCAATGGAAGAGGCCGTTTCCTCCGATCGGAAACCAGGTTCCAAAGGTGAAACTGTTTCACATTCGGCAAATGTCACTGGATCGATCAGGGGTTACTAGCAACAGGCTAGTTTTTGATTGAGTTTCCACTGAAATGAGGCTGCATTTTAATGTTTTAATGTTGTATTTTAATCTTGTTTTTAAGCTGTATTTCAATCAATTGTTTTTATATTTGGTGTTAGCCGCCCTGAGCCCGGTCTTGGCTGGGGAGGGCAGGGTATAAATAAAACTTCTTATTCTTATTCTTCAAGGACTCCTGCCTCCAAACTGAGCCATTGTGGCCAGCAGCCATCTCAGTTGCATTGCATTCCACTTTTGATTAGTGTACTGCTTTTCTATATTAGGGTTGGGAATGAATATGGAAAAGAAAAATGCGTCTCCCTTCCACGATTGGAAGGTTCCAAAGGTGAAACTGTGTCACATTCGGCAAACGTCACTGGATCGATCATGGGTTGCTAGCAACAGGCACCATTCAAGCTAACTTTAAAAGCGAGTTTATAAAAGGGTGGGGAGTTTTATTCCACAGCACAGTTGCCATCAGCAATAGGGCGGTTCATAAAAAACTTTTTTGAAAATGCCTGCTCCAAAGGTCTTATCTTACTACACGGGATTATATAGCTACATCTGAAATTTCATGCATATCAGTTAATATCTTGACCCTCCTCCACGAAAATAGCTGTTTACTTGGCCGTTTTCCTATGTCGCGAGGGCTGAAATTTCAATTCAGTGGAGCAGGGTCAAGATATTAACTGATATGCATGAAATTTCAGATGTAGCTATATAATCCCGAGTGTAGTAAGATAAGACCTTTGGAGCAGGCATTTTCGTAAAAGGTTTTTTATGAACTGCCCTAATCAGCAAGCAACGATGCCTCTCCAAAGGAAACATCCAACTGTTCCACGACCAGCCCATGGCTTACCCTTGAATTCTCCTTCCTCATAAGCCAAAACTGGCCCCAGGAGGGAGGGGGAAATGGCTATTCCAACCCACCATGCCTGGGTTCAAGCACACATACTTTCTTACATAGAGTAAGGGCAGAGTGGTGGCTAGGCTTTGACAAATTCACTCGCCAGGATAATTAGGGCAATGGGCCCACCTTGTCATGGTGAGAATGAGGCTTTCCATTTTCACTACAGTTAGCAATGGCCAGCTGAAATTCAAAAGGTGTGAAAACAGAAGATTCTGAACGTTAAAAACGTAAGAACCACCTTCAAGCTGGATTAGGCCAAAGGCTCACTTGAAAACAGCCCTGTATAGGGAAGATTTCAGTGTTTTACTGTGTTTGATGTTTTGATTTGTTGGAAGCCGCCCAGAGTGACTGGAGCAACCCAGTCCGATGGGTGGCATATAATAAATTATTATTATTATCCTCCTCATCATTATTCTCACAATGGCTGCCCAGAGGCCTCTGGAAAACCCACGAGCAGGACCTGACTGCAACAGCATTCTCCCCACTTGTAATCCCCCTGCCTCCAAAAGCAGAGAGGTGTAGTTTACAAGTTGGATCTATGCATATTTACTCAGAAATAAGTACCACTAAAAAGAAAAAAAGAAAAAAAAGAAACTTCAGTTCAGCTTTTAAAATCAAAGTACGTAGCTGGGGCAAGTTGGAAGTTGGGTGGCGTTTTATAACAACCAGAATACATCCAATTTCTTCATTCACCCCACTTTGAAGAGAGAAGTTTGCTGAATTGATTCTGAAGTGAAACCTTTTGGGCTCCTGGAGATGTTGACCGGCTCTGACAAAAACGCAAATAGGTTTTGTCTCTTTGCCAAACTTTGGGTTTTCAGCCAAGCGTTAAGAGCAAAGTGGCATCTGCTTGTGATTGCATGACTGGGTCGGATCATTTGTAACGGAGGCTGTGGCCACAAAGAATTCACTTCTCACTAAGCCCATCAGTCACAAAGAAGGCACTGAAAGCAATTACAGCTGAACTGAGAATCACTCATCTTGCACTACATTCCAAATTCTGCCACTTTGGGCCAGTGATCTAGTATATGAGAAGCAACAGCTTGAGATACATTTATATATATATATATATTGTTAAGCAAGATTAAGAAGCAAGTGGAGCTTCTACTGAGACCTTAGAAATGTAGTTTAGACCCAGGTAAGACTTCCTCCTTAATTCCTTCTGCCTCCAACCCCACAAAAATGCTCCCCACTCCATAAAATTATGTAAGCCAAGCAAGCGATGTTTGCATAAAAGACAACCCCATGTTCAGAATGTGGGGTTTCCGACCGATTAATCAGAAGGAGGTTTTTCACCCATTAATGTCTGAAACATGCATGCAAAACCAGTCTTTACCTCCATGGTCAGACGATCAGGCTCTGGGTTCGGGTCTGGCTCAGGAGAAAGGTCTTTCACTTCAGGAGTTACAGGCGATTCCGGGACATCTGCAGGGGAAAAGAGGAGTTAAGTTGCAGCTTTGGAACCGTGGCCCAACGAGAGATTGCAGCATTATTATGTCATTCTGTTCATTTATTTTCCTACCTTTGCATTTTGCCTTGCTTCCATCACAGAACCCAAGGAATGGTAGCAGCCTTGTGCGCCTCCACATGGCGCGCTGGATATTTATTACTGCTTGTCTAGTTCAAGCCAGGGCAAACATGCCTCTTTTCTAAATCAGCCACTGAAATGCGTATTTGAGGCCTGATCTTCATAAGGGCCCTGATGCCAGCTTGGAAAATGAAGCAGTGAGGCACCTTTCAAAAGCAAAAGTGTACATGCTCCATTTTGGTCAGCCAATATAGGCTCTTTAAAAAAAATAAAAAATTGTACCCCGCCCATCTGGCTGGGTTTCCCCAGCCACTCTGGGCGGCTTCCAACAAAGACAAAAAATACACTAAAATGTCACACATTAAAAACTTCCCTGAACAGGGCTGCCTTAAGATGTCTTCTGAATGTCAGGTAGTTGTTTATCGCTTTGACATCTGGTGGGAGGGCGTTCCACAGGGCAGGTGCCACTACCAAGAAGGCCCTCTGCTTAGTTCCCTGTAGCTTTGCTTCTCACAATGAGGGAACCGCCAGAAGGCCCTTGGCGCTGGACCTCAGGTATACTGGGCTGAGGCCGTTTAGGGCTCTTAAATGTGTTTGATTCGTTGGGCGAGAGGGTACAGCAAAGTGTGGTAGAATGGACTCAAAAGCAACATTTCTAACAACCCCCTCGGAAAAACTCATGTTATAGCCCAACACTCCTGTAAATTCACACATTTAAGACGTTCTCTGCAACAAGCACAAATAAAAACATATCCTTCAGTACTGAAAGCTCTGATTTGAGATTTTGCAGGAGCTGCGTTATATGAGCTGGATCGTAAGAAGACAAATTCGTAAAGGCTCCCAGAAATACTCTGCTTTCCCTTGTGATATACCCACTACATCTCAGGCCTGCTATGCCATTAGATAAGTTCTTGGCAGCTTGGCTATCTAACCAGTCCTTGCACCAGACCATCCTCAGTTTACTGGAATGCAAAACCTATCAAAAGTATGTTCCTCTTGAACCATATCCATGAATGCAGTTTAACGTATGAAACTGGAAGCATTGACACTAGCTTTGGGAAAATGCATCTCTGATGGCTGGTAAAGGTAAAGGTACCTCTGACCATTAGGTTCAGTCGTGACCGACTCTAGGGTTGCGGCGCTCATCTCGCTTTATTGGCCGAGGGAGCCGACGTTTGTCCACAGACAGTTTTTCTGGGTCATGTGGCCAGCATGACTAAGCCACTTCTGGTGAACCAGAGCAGAACACGGAAACGCTGTTTACCTTCCCGCCGGAGCAGTACCTATTTATCTACTTGCACTTTGACGTGCTTTCTAACTGCTAGGTTAGCAGGAGCTGGGACCGAGCAACGGGAGCTCACCCAGTCATGGGGAATCGAACCGCCCACCTTCTGATCAGCAAGTCCTAGGCTCTGTGGTTTAACCCACAGCGCCACCCGCATCCCTTCTAATGGCTGGAGGTGGCTTTAAAAAAACCCTGATACAATCAAGCAGTCTAAAACCCTCGTCAATACAGAGGTTACTAACCTCTCCTCAATTCTACAAGACGCTTTCAAAAATGTTTTGGTCCTCAGATCCTTTCCCGACTAAACCCTGGGCATTTCGCGTTGATTACTCTGCGCTATTTGGGTTCAGCTACGGCAGCAATTTACAACCTGTTGTGGTTCTGCCAAAGAGAATGGCGAAAGCCACTGATGATCACAAGGCAGATTTCATTTTAATGCTCCCCTGAGCTGACAGGAATGCGGCACCTCTATCATTCAACCCCCCGCTGCGTCACCCTGACTGGTTGAAAGGTTGCAAGGAAGCCCTGCTGAGTTCAAGGAGAACAACTGCCACGGGGAGTCTCTCTCAGGGTAAGCAAGCAGAGAAGGGACTTGCCCTGCTAACCTGCTTGCTTAATAGAAATAACGGAAATGTTGGACAGAACACCAGCCAAGCTTCCCTTTCAATCCACATTTGGCTGGCGGCAGCTCTGTGCTCATACCATAGTTGCGACTTGTGTTTTTTTGGACGTGAAACCAGCCCAGCTTATTAGGTCAATACCAGGAATGTTGCGTCTGGGCCAGGCATCAGGCCCAGCGACCTTTTGCAGGTTAAGCAGGGCTGAGATCTACTGGTGGACGGCTTCCAACCACGGAAGAATGAATTGATTTCTTCTGTCAGGGGAGGAGTGGAAACACGAGCAGTGAGGTAGATGGCAGCGCATGGGGCATTGCACAAAAATACACACCTCAATATGCGCAGTCAGATGAAGCGGTGGCAGCAGCCAAGGTGCGCTGTCCTCGTATTGATGAGGACTGATGGAGCAACCAAGAGGTTCCTTTAAGGGCTTAAATCCCAAATTCTCGCGATTGTTATCCGATTGTGAGAATAAATGCAGTTGGGGTCGAGGTGAAAAATCCGGTTCACCCCTTCAGCAAGACCCTTTGTAACTTGCAAGGTGCTACTGAAAAGTCCAGCCTGTCCACCAGGTGCGCATATGCCTGAACTGGAAAAGGTGACAAAGTACCATTTGTACCTTGATATACTAAACGGCAGCAGCAAAGGTTATGATGACAATCTCCACCATGCGGCCTTTAAGGCAGAGGAACAGCTTTAACTGTGTATTCCCAGCCTTCCTGGGACAAACCAACACAGTATCTGGTTTTGTTTTCTTCTGTGATGCTGCTAATTACACTTTAACTTTGGCCTCCCAAATTTCTTCTGCTGCCTGGCTTGCTGGATGCCTGTTGTGTTGAGAGCGCAGGTTCAGAGTGAGGTTACAGGGAACCAGGCAGAGGGCCTTCTCGGTAGTGGCTCCTGCCCTGTGGAACGCCCTCCCAGCAGATGTCAAGGCAATAAACAACTATTTTACTTTTAAAAGACAACTGAAGGCGGCCCTGTTTAGGGAAGTTTTTAACGTCTGACGCTGTATTGTTTTTAATATTCGGTTGGAAGCCGCCCAGAGCGGCTGGGGAAACCCAGCAAGATGGGCAGGGTATAAATAATAAATTATTATTATTATTACTCCCACTCCATCTGGTTCCCAACTTATGATATGGCAATTTACTACAGACAGCAGCCCTGCATCTGCCCAAATGGGAACACGGAAGTCCTTGTTACAGGTGAGCATCCTGGAGACATATCCATTGTCTTGGCAGCTTGGCTTTCAGTGCCATCACTTGGACCATTTTAGAAACAATTTTGAATCCTACAACTCTCCACAAAACAAACCCCGGCTTATTCATTGAGACAAGGTAGCTGCGGTGAGTTACAAGAGCCTGGCTAGATGCTGCTGCTCCCAGAAGACAGAACAAAAGCTTTGGGGAGACTCGTGGCAGCAGGCTCTTGCCAAGAAACAGAACTCAGCTCCAAGAGGGAGCCAACTAGTCTCACTCTGCAAGAAATGTCTTTAAAAAAATCTTACCTTTCTTTTAAAAAATCACCCAGCAAGCTGCTGGTCCAGAGGGCTGCGGGGATGCATTTGAAAGAGAGACTGCTGATACCTGCAGAGGGTGTCAGTATTTGGGGTGGGAGCTACTGTGCTGTGCTTGTCTTCCTGCCTCCCCTTACTTGTTTTTAAATTACATCCTGCCTTTCATTTGGGATACTGTCTTCCATACACAGTTCCTATTGCCCTTCGCTTACCTATTATCAAGGTTATGCTAAAAAGAAAAAGATCCAAGTTTCTTGCAAAAGAAATATCATGGATTCCATAGAGAAAGTGAATTATGGATATTTGTGTATCTTGTGTAACAAAGGGTTGTCTCCAACATTAGCCATACAGATCCACTTATATTTGTGGTTACGACTTAAATCCATTCCTTTCAATAGGTCTACTCAAGAGCAGAACTTAGTTGGTTACAACAGACTTCTCATTGCCACAATCTCTGTTGCCACTGTATCAGAGAGAGGGCTCAGGCTTTGATTAACAAAGCAGATTTAATTTCAGCAGAAATTAAGCCTGCTTTCTTAATCACATATCGTATATATTTGATTTTTAATTTCTGCTACATTTCCTTTTCATGAGCTGCATTTTATTGGAAGCTCTTTGTTAAGCCCCCGCCTGCCCTGCCCCAAGGGCTCATTTGAAACCAGTATGATGGGGAAGAATTCTGCAACTCAAAAATAAATAAAACACCTGCAAAGAGGCGATCTCTTTTCAGCATGGAAGTCTGCATTTCCCTAGTGGTAAGACGAAGGGTCGTATGCCTGGGCAGAAAGAATAACCATTTATAGCAAAGACACAAGGAGAAAGAGAAGTCTCGTTGGATGGGACTTTGCACTTATCCAGGGCAGATGCTTAGCACTGCTGTACCCACTTACTTCCAAGAAGACCAGGATCTCCTAGAGATACTGGCTTCAATGTAACTGCAATCTCCTCAAACCTCCACCCCCCCTCTTCCATTTACCCTCGTCATCGCTGCTCTCGGGTTGAGGCTGTTTGATCCGACGCCTCTTTCTCTTCAGGCTCTCAACCTCTTTCTCCTCCTCGTCTGACATCTCCAGCCTCTTTGTTCTGCAAATAAATAATGCTCGTCACCTCAAATGTATTTGGGGGTGTGGAACAGGCGGAAAGAGAACAACTTCTCCAAACGCAAAACGCGCAACTGCTAATCTGGAGGGAAGAACAATAGCAGCATGCTTTTCCTCTTCTACCACCTATAATTAAAGACGGCTGCATACGCTGAACTCTAGAGGAAGAAACGAGCTGAAAAGATGCTCCCAGGGTCACGTATATTCTGCAATCAAAAACGAACAGAACGATCCAAGGTAGTGATTCTATCCAGAGGAAGACGAGTGCGGGCCAAACGGCAGTCCAGAAATCAGGAACCATAACCACCTGGGTGCAGATATGAATGCCATGCCACTAACAGCGCTCAGGAAGCCAGAGTAAGAAGGGAGGCACAGGAGCCGTTGGGCTGGGGGGGGGGGGGCACTTGCTGGTTTCCTAGCAATTGGAAAAGGTAAAGGTAAAGGACTCCTGACAGTTAAGTCCAGTCGTGGACAACTCTGGGGTTGTGGCGCTCATCTCACTTTACAGGACAAGGGAGCAAACGTTTGTCTGCAGACAGTTTTTCCGGGTCATGTGGCCAGCATGACTAAGCCGCTTCTGGCGCAACGGAACACAGAAACCAGAGCAGTGCATGGAAACGCCGTTTACCTTCCCACCGGAGTGGTACCTATTTATCTACATGCACTTTTTGGCGTGCTTCCAAACTGCTAGGTTGGCAGGAGCTAGGACAGAGCAACGGAAGCTCACCCCATTGCAGGGATTCGAACCACCAATCAGCAAGCCCCAGAGGCTCAGTGGTTTAGACCTCAGTGTCACCACAATAACTACCAGCCAGCACCCTCTGACTTGAGGCCAACAAAACAATATGTTATTAAAAACAGCATCGACCACCAGCCCACCCAAGATCCCCCAAAACTAATCAACTTGTTCTGAACCCTTGAACAGGGCAGGACGTAAAAGTCTATGACATCTCAGGTGCAAAATGCCATGTTATGAAAGCGACTGCAGAGCTGTGAAAGCTAATATCCCCCAGACCTGGGATCTCATCCTGCCTGGGGGGGTCTAAACAAGTTTGTCCCCAAAGCACAGTTTTTACAAGAAATCACGTCCAAAACAGCCAATCAATACTCTTTTAGTGGAGTCGCTATGAGGTAGTGTCTCAGATGTCTGGAGTGGCTTTGAAATACATTTTAGCATGATCATATTTTTACTAGTGGGAAAAAAATTAATTAAATGGCTTCTTTCAGCACTGATGGGAAGGTGCCAGCTAGCTAGCGCTGGTGGCAGAGACAACTCTGGGCACTGCAGCCTCTGCTCTTCTGCCAAAGGGGCATCCTTTTCTCCAGGCCTCTGGGGCTAAAAACAAGGCAGCTAGTTAGAATCAGCTGACTGGCTAAAAGTCAAGCGAGGAGGGGGCCTCCACAACAGGAAACTGCCCACACCAGGCTGCAGACAAATGTTTGAGCTAAAATTAAAAGTAAGCACAGAAGGATTCCAGTCCAGAATTCTGCTATTATATGATTCTGGTGAAGCAGCTATTCCTGTCATCCTGTGATAGATTTCTATTAGGCACCAAGCTAAAGTATACAAATGCAATATGGGGTGTGTGCATGCATGCATGCCTTTTTCTTGTCTTGCTCTGTCTTTCAACAACCCGTTCCTTTCTGCGCCCCCCCCCCTACAATGCTCCCCACCTGCACCTCAGTCCTTCCAGGCACTCTATACACATACAAATCTAGCGCTGAAGAAAAGTATCTGAGCTCCAGAAACTCACAGAAGCCTGCAATATTGGTAAAATTTATTCTGGACACAAATTTAGGTTTAGCAGTCGCAGAATATCTAGCAGCTTTTGCTCTGCTGCTCTCAAAATTAGAATCAGAGAAGTGATGACAATTGCAGCTAATTTAAAGCTGAATCACCGAACTGTTTGTGTTATTTGTGTAATACTCAAGTAATACTGCAATACTGCAATGTGTGTGCACATTTTACTTGAGTGGTTTTTAAAAGGAAAAATTAGGATGGAAAACAGCAACGAGCCCCAGCTTTAATACTGACGTCATTTGCAATCCTGCCTCCAGTTTCTGAGCATTTAAAAGTGCAATCAGTCTGGAAGAAAGTCAGTGGAGTTCAAGACTTCTTATGCAATTCAGTGCTTGACTCGGCCTTTTAAAAATCTGTGTGCCTGCTTCCTCCCCTTCCAGGCACTCCGTTACAGTACAATGAACTTCTGCAAATGAATGAGCCAAGCTGGCCATTTATACCCCCAAAGCCTTAGACAACCAAAAACTTAAATGGGGAGGGCTACCTTTTTTTGTCCTTCTGCTGTCCTCTTGCAGGATCAGCTTTCTTGCTGGGTTTCTCACGTTCTGGTGCACCCGGAAGCGATTTGGGTTCCACTGGGGACTTGGCTGCAGCTTTCTCTTCCTTTCGCTGTTCGGGTTCAGGACTTGCTTTGCCTGCATTTGTCACAAGGGAAAGCAGGAAGGCTGCAGTTTACCAGTTTGCTCCCTATGGTAGGATCTGGCTACAACAAGGGGCTCCACTCTCACAAAAGGTGGGGAAGGGATAGAAGTATGTTGCAAAACTACAAAAGAAAATCTGGACAGATGCTACTGGAGCAGTGTAATAAATCACACACGATACAGCAGTCCTAAGCGTACTCAGGCCTGGTCTGCATGTACAGCAGGATTTATTTATTTTTAAGTAGACTTATTTGTCGCTTTTTTTCCAACAAAATAATTCAAAGTGATTTACCACAACAAATCAGTAACACACACATTGAAACCAGCATAAAACTGAAACAAGAGAAAAATATAAAACTCATTCATATTTTTTAAAGGTAGGACTAAAAAAACCTACCCACAGATAACTAAAAGCCACAGGCCTGGGGAAATTAAATCTTTTTGCCTGGTGCCTAAAGATAAGTAATGAAGGCACCAAGTGAGCCTCTGGGTAGAGCACAAGTGAGAAGCCAACACTGGAAAGGCCTCTTCTCGTGTTGCCACCCTCCAGACCTTCAGTGGAGGAGCCAAAAAATGGCAGCACCTGTGCCATGGGAATCCCTGCCTACTGACATTATGCTGGCATCCTCAACAAGCCTGCTGAAAACGTTTTGTTTCAGCAAGCCTTTGTTACCTATATTTCCCCGCTGAACTCCTTAAGATTTGCAAATGAAGAGACATGCTTAGGAACAAATTGCTAGTTTATCCTTTATCTAGCTATAATAAGCCCTTTGGAGCCAAGGATTTGAATGTAAATGCTGTAAGCTGTATTTAGCCCTTGACAATGGGGCAGGCAACACAAGCAGGAGCTCGACAATCCTTACCCAGAGCAGCTTTTCCAAAGAAGTTGTTCAGCAGATTTCCTTTAGCAGGTGCCTTGCTACTTGCTGTGGAGGCCTGGAAGGAATGAACATATTCAAAGCGAACTGTATTTGTTCTCCCTTTCATGCCTTTGTGTCCAAAGCTGCACTTTACAGTGCAGCCCTGAGATGAAGTTTTTTGGGGGGGGGAGTGTAAAAAGGTAAAGGTAAAGGGACCCCTGACCGTTAAGTCCAGTCACGGACGACTCTGGGGTTGTGGCGCTCATCTTGCTTTATCGGCCGAGGGAGCCGGCGTACAGCTTCCAGGTCATGTGGCCAGCAGGACTAAGCCGCTTCTGGTGAACCAGAGCAGTGCACGGAAATGCCGTTTACCTTCCCACCAGAGCGGTACCTATTTATCTACTTGCACTTTGATGTGCTTTCAAACTGCTAGGTTGGCAGGAGCCAGGACCGAGCAACAGGAGCTCACCCCGTCGCGGGGATTCGAACCGCCAACCTTCTGATCGGCAAGTCCTAGGCTCTGTGGTTTAACCCACAGCGCCACCCGCGTCCCGGGGGGGGGGGGAGGGTAGCTAATGACAAAGGGTGCCAAAGCCTGGAAACTTACACTTGGCAACTCTTTAGCTTCCACTTTGGTCTCTTTCGGGGTCTCCTGGGACTTGGTGGAAGACTTGGCCGCAAACATTCCCATAATGCCCTTGGCCTGCTGGGAGGTCTGCTTTGAAGAAGCGCTTGGGGCATGGCCGTTGACCACAGGAGTAGCAGCTTTATCCATGCCATGAGGTGGCTGGTGATCCACCTGGGCCAGGGTTTCGACGCGAGACATTTCAGCGGCTGTCCTAGCAACTGCAGCAGCACAGTGAATAGCACTAAACCTGGGTAGCAGGAGGGGGAAAACTTCAGTTAGCATGACTTGGAAGTTTTATCATTTGACATCCATGCCAAAAACTCTCAAAGAGCCTTGGGATAAAGGTGTTTCCTGAGAAAACAATTCCTGTTTCATTTCTCACGCATTCCTTAAACATGTGCGACAACGTTATGTTATACTGACCAATAAGATGGGAGTAGACCGAGAAAGGTTTCTGTTCCTTTTTATACAAATGTCTTTTAAACTTGTCCTAAGAGTCACTTGCCCAAGCACAGCAGTGTGGACAGGAAGCAAGGGAATCTCTTTTCACTGAAGAGAACTGGCCAGAAGAACAAAATTATTTTCATGCCAACTTGGGGGAAAGGCAGGATATAAATATATGAAATACTCCCTGCCTATTGAGATCAAGTAGTGCCCTCACTGTACTCTTTTTGCACCTGCTAAAAACATTCCTGTTTAGACAAGTTTACTCAGCTGCTTAGAAAGTTGAGGTGATTTTAACCTGTTTTAGTATTTTAGCTTCTGCATGCCTTAAAGTAGGGTTGTAAATTTTTCTTGATTTTACTGTTCATCTTTTGTAAACATCTTTGAGATTTTTTTACAATTAAGATACGTTCAGTTTTTATGAATTAAATAAATAATAATCACTCAGTCAATCCAAGTGAAGCAATACTGTATTGGCCTGAATATAAGCTGCACCTTTAAAATTCAAGGGAGAAAAAAGAAAAAAAGACAATACCCAAATATAAGCCACTCCCTTAAAATTCTGCAGGCACTCACACCCGTTCCATTTTACTGTATGTCTGTTTCAGCAGCGATATCGTAAAAAAGTCAATTTTTGCAAGGTCACAAATTTAAGCTGCACTTTTAACTTTTCACGGTTGGAATTAGGAAAAAAAGTGTGGCTTATATTCGGGCCAATACGGTAAATGAGAACATAGCAATTAAACTTGAACGGACTGTCAGAAAGGAAAAGTTTGGAACACTTTGCATGTTGCCGACTCTGAATTGAAACAGTAAGCAAAAGAAAAACCAGCAGTGTGAGGGGGGAGAAACAGCTCAAAACTTTTCCTAGCAGAGTGGGGAAAACCACTACTGCAGGGGCACAAGAAGGAACCCTCTGGGATGGGTTTTGGAGATCGCTTACAGCCTGAGCACAATCTACAATGATGGCAAGATAAAGGTGGGCTTATCTGGATGACCAGCAGATCAGTTACCAAGACAGAACTCACTTGCTGCAGTTCTGCAGGTTTGCTTTGATGACATCGTAGTCCGTGTTATAGAGCGGACTGCTGTCCTTGAGCATGGCTTTTTGGATGCTGTAGACGTGCACGCTGGCAATGGTGGACAGCTTCGACTTCATTGCTGAAAAGGAAGACAGGTCTGTGAAATGGAAAGGACCTTATAAAAAGCAACCATTTTGCAGTGGCATGGTTCGCAACTCAACAAGCGATCTGGGAGTGCACCGGGCTGCTGGGAGGCCATACTTGTATGCTCAGATGAAGCTTGTGCAAACTGGTGCCTCCATATACAATGGCAATATGTGTATGATCATGGCACCAAACTGGGGGAAATATTGGGAGGGGGTAACTCTTAAAATCGAGAATGGACACCCAACAAACGAACCAATCCCAGGACACCTTAGAAGGCTCTCATGAGAAGCCTTCATCGCTCCTTGCCAGTTTCACTCAGTACCTAAAGCGGCTATTCTGAAACTATCATGCTCTTGGCAGCTGAACGTTTGGCTGTCAAGAGACTCACAATGTAAGACTGTCTACCATAAAGCTGAATTATGGCTACAAAAGCATTTGTAGTCAAAATGTCTAGCCCACATGCCTCTCCCCTGGGAAGGAGAAACATTAGCCCTGCGATAACAATCTGAGGGCTTGCAGCCCAAGCGCTTCTGCCAAGGCTGTATCAGATCACACGAAGCAGAGTTTGGTCGAAACAGAAGTTTGGAGGAATGTCTGTCTCACCTCTACAGTAGCTGGCTGTACTCTCAGATGCTTTCGCTTCTGCATCACACTTTCCCCCCCCCCCCACCCCATGCGGACAACTGGCTGAGGTTGCACAATTTTTGCAGGACAGACTTGCAGCCAGAAGCACATTGATTCTGGCCAGAATTGTTGCCTGGGATGGGATCTTTATCTCTGGTGTCGCGCTGGATCTCAGAGGCTGTCTAAGTGCTTCTGGAGCAGAGTGCAAGACTGGGAACGGATCCCCTTTTCCAAGCTCAGGAAGAGGGCTGGGACTAGTACACATTGCACCATGCTTCTGTAGCTCTAACTGCCTGTGTTTGGAGGTGGGGCAGGATTCTCCCCGCAATCACGCTGTGCTTCAAAAGTGCTTCATGTGCCTGCAAAGGACAGCACAGCCCAATGTGGACAAGCCTAGCTCTCCACCCAGGCTTAGGTCTGGTGCTTGTCATAGTCCTCAAAGCAGGGAGGGATATTGTCCTGACCGCAACTGAAAATAGCATGTGCTCAAACCAGGAAGAGGAGACTTCCAAGGAGAGTGCTTCAGGACAACTCATTCAGGCAACACCTGATCATCTGTCTCCTCGTTTGACCTCAGGGACTGCAGCAACTGGAGCGCCAAAATTGTTGGGCAGTTGTTTGAGAGTCTGGTCCTTGAATACTGTTTGCGTTGCTTGAGCGGGGGAAGGGGAGCCCGTCAAGAGGAAAAGGCAGGAGGGGACAGGAAGCATGACAACTCCCCCTGAGAAAGGTCAGACAACACAGAGGTTTAACTGGATGAAAGGAGCGAGTAGAACAGGGTAGGGGAAAGTTGACATGTAGGCAATGTCCCCTTAGGAATGAAAAAGGACTGAGCATTCAGAAATTAGAGTTTAAACCAGGTATGTGGCTTGTTAACATTCAGTCTAGGTTCTATTCTGCATTAAAGAGGTTTGTGCTCTTTTAAGTTATTTCCCTCAAGTTTTTGGGATACAGTAGTTTATGGTTCACAGGACACGGGTAGCAATGTGGGTTAAACCACAGAGCCTAGGACTTGCCAACCAGAAGGTCGGCGGTTCGAATCCCCGCAATGGGGTGAGCTCCCGTAGCTTGGTCCCTGCTCCTGCCAACCTAGCAGTTCAAAGGCACGTCAAAGTGCAAGTAGATAAATAGGTACCGCTCCGGCGGGAAGGTAAACTGTGTTTCTGTGCGCTGCTCTGGTTCACCAGAAGCGGCTTAGTCATGCTGGCCACATGACCCAGAAACTGTATGCCGGCTCCCTCGGCCGATAAAGCGAGATGAGCGCCGCAACCCCAGAATCGGCCACAACTGGACCTAGTGGTCAAGGGTCCCTTTAACTTTTACCTTTAGTTTATGGTTAAGTATATAAGGCAAGACATGCCGAGCCTCTCCAGAGGTAACCTTCACCCACCTCTTTATTATAATTGACTTCCAACAGGTACAAGCTCCCTTAACCCTCTCACATTTCAGCCAACCAATCTCCGCGCCAAGAGCAATCAGAGGGTCAGTGGGGGAAGGTGGCTGTTTGCATTATTTCCCAGCCCACTCCCTCACCTGCATGCAAACTGCCTTAGACTGAGTAGGAACACTGGTCCCCCTGGCTCAGTATTTTTTATACTGGCTGGCAGAGACTCTCCAGGTTTCCAGACAGCGATCTAAAAACCAGCCCTATCTGGAGGTGCCTGGGGACTTCTGGATCAAAAGCAGCCGGCCTACAACTAGGGTACAGTTCTTCCCCCAGGTACAAAGTGCATAAATACAAAGCTACAAAGTATGCTGCTGCAGACACCTTTCCAAAGGTATGTGAAGGTGAAGTCCTATGTAGCTTTGTCTATTTTCTCTTCCTCACTCTCACACCATAGTTGCATTAAGTATTCCAAACCAATGTTAAATGCTGTGTTTTCCGTTCCTCACTCTAGAGGCTTTACTACTACACAGAGGTGAGTTGGCAACAAATGTGGGAGCATCCTTAGAAAATAGCATGGAAGCAAGGTGTTCCAGACAAACCAGCAATACTACCCAAACTCATAAATTTGCAAATGGAAAAAAGTGATGTTAGGATTATTTACAAAGACAGAGCAAGCTTCTTTGGAAGCACTGCTCTCAATAGACCTACCTTCTAGCTTTTCTTCTTTCACTACTGCAACCTTGTGGCACTGTAAAGAAATGGCAACTTATTAAAGAAGCAAAATATAAAATCATATAATTGGAAGGGGGCACAAGGACTATCCAGTCCAACCCCCTGTAATGCAGGAATATTTTGCCCAGCGTGGGGTTCAAACTCATGACCCTGAGATCTTTGTTCTAGCTAGTAAAGCAATATTCTGATCCTTACCGTATTTAACCTGCAACAAAATCTTTTAGATCTCAGTAAAACTCACTTTTAAGAAAGCAACTTAGGACTGCAGCCTCAGTCTTGTCCCCCAACTTCTAGCTTAAGTATTTCAAAAGGACTTGTGTGAATTTCTCTTGTTGTGTGAATAATAAGATACCTGATATTAGGTGCCATAAGCTCTGGTTTCCCTTGCCCACCACTGTAGTACTAGGCAGTGATCCTATTTCGGGGGGGGGGGCTGCCCTCTCATATAAACACCTTGACAGTGTGTGTGTGTGTGTGTGTGTGTGTGTGTGTGTGTATATATATATATATATATATATATATATATATATATATAAAATTATTATTATTACTACTACTACTACTATTATTAACTATCCACCATTCACCCTATGCTCCCAGGGTGGGTTACAACATACTGCAAAATGTATTCTACAAAACAATTAAAATTATCAGTTATAAATCATCACAGACAACAGTATCAGCTCAACACCTCCCACAACCTTGAAAAGCCTATACTGTATTTCAAACACCCAGTGTTCAGGAATGTCCCTTTCGCAGCACAGTAGTGCCCTCTGCTGGACCAAACTCACTACTACAAGAAAGTTGCCATTTCATTTACCGTATTTTTTGCTCTATAAGACTCACTTTCCCCCTCCTAAAAAGTAAGGGGAAATGTGTGTGCGTCTTATGGAGCGAATGCAGGCTGCGCAGCTATCACAGAAGCCAGAACAGCAAGAGGGATTGCTGCTTTCGCTGCGCAGCGATCCCTCTTGTTGTTCTGGCTTCTGAGATGCAGAATATTTTTTTTCTTGTTTTCCTCCTCCAAAAACTAGGTGCGTCTTATGGTCTGGTGCGTCTTATAGAGCGAAAAGTACGGTACAGTGGTGCCCCGCAAGACGAATGCCTCGCAAGACGGAAAACCCGCTAGACGAAAGGGTTTTCCGTTTTGGAGGTGCTTCGCAAAACGAATTTCCTATGTGCTTGCTTCGCAAGACGAAAATGTCTTGCGAGTTCCTGCGGGGTTTTTTTCCTCCCCCCCCCTTTTTCCCAAGCCGCTAAACCGCTTAACAGCTGATGCTAAGCCGCTTATCAGCTGATCTTTAAGCACAGCTGATGCAGCGTTATCAGCTGATCTGCCGTAACAGCTGATGCTGCGCTATCAGCTGATCGTTAAGCCGCTTATCAGCTGATCTTTAAGCCGGCTAAGCCGCTAATACTGTAGCGCTAAGCCGCTAAACCTCTAATGGGCTTGCTTCGCAAGACGAAAAAACCCGCAAGACGAAGAGACTCGCGGAACGGATTCTTTTCGTCTTGCGAGGCACCACTGTATTTCTTCTTCAGTTAACAACTCATGAGGAGGGCAGCCGAGTAAGCATGCCCCCGCCTCCAGTGCCCATTTTCATCACCTTCTGCTCATTCATTGTCCAGGATTCCAAAATGTGTGGAAAGCCTTTGGATACAAGACTCACTGTTGGAAGGTATTGAAAACAGACACACATAGAGGGCACGCTCTTGCCTGCTGCCCTCTCACAAATAATAAATCCTCTGATTGAATGAAGTTTGAAGAGGACTACTATGCTAAAAGGAACCAAGAGGAGATTGAGAGGAGATAGGATAGCAGTCTTCAAATATCTAAGGGCTGTCACATGGAAGATGGAGCAAGCTTGTTTTCTGCTGCTCCAGAGGAGAGGACCTGAACCAACGGTTTCAAGTGACAAGGAAGAAGATTTCGACTAAACATCAGGAAGAACTTTCTGACAATAAGAACAGATTCCCACAAGAGATGACGGACTTTCCTTCCTTGGAGGTTTTTAAGCAGAGGTTGAATGGGCATCTGTCATAGATGCTTTAGCTGAGATTCCTGCATTGGAAGGGGTTGGACTAGATGACCCCTGGAGCCCCTTCCAACTCTACAAGTCTATGATTCTATTATCACCATGGACCTCAGATGCTTTAGAGTAAGAGCAGCCAATGGGGTGCCCTCCCATGTTGTGGACTGCAACTCTCATCAGCCCCTGCCAGCACAGCCATTGGTGAGGGATGATGGGAGTTGTAGTCCAGCAGCATCTGGAGCAGACAACCCCAAACCCAGCCCTCCAGCTGTTTTGGGACTACAATTCCCATCATTCCTGACCACTGGTCCTGTTAGGTAGGGATGATGGGAGTTGTAGTCCCAAAACAGCTGGAGGGCCGAGTTTGGAGGTGCCTGATGTGGAGGGCACTGTGTTGGTTACCCCTCCTGTAGAGACATGACAGCGTTTGTACTTTTTCTGCATGGAACGCTGCTCTAGAATGTATGGGAAAGTAACACACTCAACACACTGAGCGAAGTTGGTTGGAAGTGCAAATATTTTTAGTCACTTTGGTTTTAACCCAAACACTTAATGCTTCAGTAAGACACAATTTCAGTAACTGTTACTGACTACAGAAGCAATGTGCGCTTTCTTTAGCCCGTTGTCCTAACAATGGAGTGTGCCTCCGGGGGTGAGGTCAAACAGCTGCATTAGCAGCACTGAGGTGACCTCCTCGGGGCGCAAGCCTGGGCTGTGTGTACGGAGGTCCTAGGCCTCCCAGACGACAAGACACACACACACCCTCATTGACGGGGTCCAAAGAAAAACAGAGCAATATGTTTGGCACCAGCTTGGCTGCAGAAGTCTCTGGAAGGAAGTGCACAAGGTGCCATCCAACCATCTTAGGGACTCCACTACAGATTTGTGTAGGGTTTGTTCCTTGGCTTTTTCTTCTCCCAAAGATATCCCAGAAGGCAGTGGATGTTTAGGATCAGAGTCTTCCTTCTCCTGGTTGGGCTACCTTCCCAGGTTGATAAGCCCCATCTGCTCTGTTTCCCTTTATATATACTTTATTTATTTATTTTATTAACATCTAAAACACATACATATACACTTACACAATACACGTACACAACACACTACCTAATTTTCATAACATAAAACATACCTACATTACTCTATATAATACCTACCTATGCTATACATTCTACACTATACTATACTATACATTACTCTATATAATACCTACCTATGCTATACATTCTACACTATACTATACTATACATTACTCTATATAATACCTACCTATACTATACCAGAGCCTGTCACGAATGGACCTAATGGTCAGGAGTCCCTTTACCTTTATACTATACACACCAACATACCTACACATCTACCCACTAAGTGACTTGACTTCCAGCCATTCTTGTTACTATTTTTCCAACTAGCTTAAATGGATTTCATTATTTCTTTAATCTCTTCTTTTATCTTAACTTTACTCTCCTTTCGCTCTAATCATTTTCTGGATTCACTCAGTATCTTTCAGAAATTCTACTTTTTCCACATAAATTCTGATGGATTCCTTAAAGATAGCCCACTCCTTATTCACTTTTTGTACCATATCTCCTCTTATCCTCCCTGTTACTTCGGCAATATGGAAGTATTCCATCATTTTAGATAACCAGTCTGTTTTAGTTGGGACGCTGCTGCTTTTCCAATTTTTGGCAATCAATAACCTTGCCGCCGTAGTTGCATATATAAATATTGGTCTGACTGTTCTTTTTATTTCCTCTGACATGATACCTAGGAGAAAGGATTCTGGGGGTTTTTCCAAATGAAAATCCAAACAGAAAGCTCTGTTTCCCTTTGTAACCCACTGAACTCCACTGCATTTGTACTTGTAATGGAAGAAGCTGTGCACTCACTGTGTGTCCATTCTGAACGAGGTTTCCGGCCACTAAATAGGTGACATGCAACTGGGCTCCCGAATTCTCCTTCCGCTTTCGTTCCACATAGTCATACAACATCCTGTGCAAATGAGGGCAAGGGACAGAGACACTAAAATGAAGATTAATCCCTTACGTTCCTTGATAAAGTTATTATTAGTGAATGCAGACCACACACCTTGGAGGTGGCCTGGTGGGTCAAGAGTCCAACAAATAATTATTCTACTCAATCTTTTTTTAAAAAATCCCACGGAGAATTATTTAGCCTTAAGAGGAGAACTGAAGCTACAGTTGAGAAGACTTGCTCCTCTTTTTATCAATATATCAATACTTACTGCTTAGCTTGGTTGACGTGAACACCTAGTGTATAGCTCAGCCATTTGTATGTTACCTGCAATGGAGAACAATCCAATCTCAACATGAAACAAGTGCCAGCAGCCCCCCAAAAAACTGCCAACCATCATTACTGCAATCGCCCATAGAGAGCCAAGGTCGTAATTTCTGTGCCAATTTCTTTTAACCCACTGCCATTAGGTTAAAGGTAGGATATACTGTATTTTTCACTCTATAAGACGCATTTTTCCCCTCCTAAAAAGTAAGGGGAAATGTGTGTGCGTCTTATGGAGCGAATGCAGGCTGCGCAGCTATCCCAGAAGCTAGAACAGCGAGAGGGATCGCTGTGCAACGATCCCTCTCACTGTTCTAGCTTCTGGCTTAGCCGTGCGAAGCCTCTTCAGGACAGTGGGGAGCCTTCACGAAAGAAGTATGGCAGACGAAATTCATGGACTATGCAGAATTGGACAAAATGACAGGAAGGATTCGAAACCTGCGGGACCAGAGATTTACAGGAGATTGGAAGAAGTATATGAACTATTTGAAGAGCAACTGTCATCAACAAATTACGCTAGTAGGACTACAAGAAGTTTTGTAAGGAGAAATATATGATGTGTTACAAAGGAGAAAAAGATAAGAGATATTGGTTATGGGTTTGAAATGCAATAGGGAAGATAAGAAATGCATACTGAGAGATTAGATTGGAAAATTATCAGACAAGACTGATGGAAGTCAAAAATTTGAATAAGATGTAAAAGTATGTTTAACTACTGTTGAAAATGATATGTTAAAAAAACCTAATAAAAATTATATATAAAAATAATAAAAAAATATTCTGTGAGTTCGGGCCCCCCCCGCTCCGCCAATCCCCCCCTCCCCCCCCAACAGCCCCCCTCCTCCCGCCCCTCCCCCTCTGAAGCACCTGCGCCCCCCCCCCCCGCTTTCGCACCCCTTCCCCCACTCACGACTCTGTTCTGGTCCGTGACGAACTCGTCGATGTTCTCCAGGTACAGCTCGTCCTCCATGGCCGGCCGGGTCGGCAGCGCCAACTTAGGCCCCACTCGCCCACTTCCCCCTCACAGGCGCCGAGCGGAGACGAAGGAAACCGCCACTGCCGCCGCCGCCGCCATGGCAACCTGAGGCCTCCCTGGAAAGAGCGCGCTACGGCGGCCGCGCGGGGACACGCTGAGCGCGGCCTTTCTCTTTCTCGCGCGCGCGTTACGGAAACCGCACTGGGCCAAAGGCGGCTGAGGCGCCTCCCGCTTCCCCCGCGCGCACGCACGCACGCGCGTTTCGGCCGCTCTCCCGGGGGCTGACGGGAGTTGTAGTCCAGAAGGTTCCAGGGAGGGCGCCGGGTCTCCAGGGAAGGCGGCCCTCCGCGTATCGAGGTTGTGGCGTCTTGCTGGCGTAGATTTTTGCCCCCGCTAGGGCAGGCCATCATGCTGCTTTGCCCCTCCCTCAGCCGCTAGTAATCCAGAGGTAGACTGTCTCTGGACATGGAGGCTCCATTCGGTAGCTCTTATAAGCAAGGAATCCCCATGGTCATTTCCTCCACAGTATGCAGCCCGTGCTATGTGTTGAGAACGGCCCTGTGATCTGCAGATGAAGGGCGGCATACAAAATAATAATAATAATAATAATAATAATAATAATAATATGTGGAGCGCCATCCCTGCCTCTCTGACATCTGATTATGCAACTTTCCAAAGACATCTGAAGGCAGCCCTGTATTGGGAAACTTTTAGTTTATTATGCTTGGCTGTTTTTATATTATGGTGGAAGCTGCCCAGAGTGGCTGGGCAACCCAGTCAGATGGGTGGCGTACCTTGGTTGTCAAACACCTTGGTACTCATATATATATTTAATAATAATAATAATAATAATAATAATAATAATTCCAGTAGCACCTTCAGAAGAAGTGCATGCACACGAAAACTCATACCAAGAACAAACTTAGTTGGTCTCTAAGGTGCTACTGGACATTTTTTTTATTTATGTATTGTTCCGCCTGGCCTTTGGCTTAGAATCAATTTGATTCCCTCCCCCTCTTTCTTTTTTCTTTCTCCTCCTCTGAAGAGGCTGCATCTTAATGTTTGAATGCTGTATTTTAATCTTGTTTTTTAAGTTGTATTTTAATCAACTTGTTTTTATTATTGGTTGTTAGCCACCCTGAGCCCGGTCTTGGCTGGGGAGGGGGGGGGGGTATAAATAAAAAAGGACGTGTAACGGCAGCGGCCAGAATAATCTATACACAAAGGTGGAAGGACAAAAGGAGATTGGCAGAATAAGTGAATAGAATATGCGGAGCTAGCAATGTTGACTGTAAATATAAGAAATCAGGATGAGTCTGAGGAGTGGGAATAAAATGGAGAATACTTAAATAATTATAGTAGCCAGATAAATTCCCAAGTAGGACAAGATATATGAGCAGCAGTCAAAAACAACCAGAAAAGGGGCAGTAATTAAGGAACTGCAGCTCAATGAGGATTAAATATGAACCCACGGAGGGATGTGTGGGGAAGTAAAAGAATGTAGGACAAATGATTATAAAGTGGATGTGTCGAACTATGGAAAATGCATAATTTTATTTATTTATTTTTTAAAGGATGTACGATTGGAAAAGGTTCAGAAAACGGCCCAGTGTGCTGGGCGGAGCAGTCATCCATTCTGATTTCTCTGTGGGAGTGTTTGCACATCTTCCTGTTAATCTTTCGTTCGACCCATACTTTTCAGTGCGCTTCCCTGCTACTTTCCAGACAGCAAAAAAAAAAAAGGCACCTTAAAAAAAAGTTTATTTGTTGTGCTAGAGTGCTTTAATCCACTTTAAATGTGCAAATCTAGAGTGCCGCCATGCACCCGAGTCTGTCCTGCGAAACACTGATAATCTGGAGGCACCCGTAGGTGCCCTGAGCTCAGAAGGGCGGCAGAAGGGACCCCCCCCCAACCATCTTGTCTTTTCCTGCCCGCTCCTAGGTCTGGATAGCGAAGCTGCCATAACTAATGATAAAGAAACGATTCATCATAAGTCAGAGCAAAAGCCGAGGAGAAATAATTTTATTGTTTGCAAGCTGTTTGCTGCAATAAAGGGGCTGTCGTTTTGTTCTCTTTGTTGCCTGCCCTCCTGCAAGCATCCTCAAGACATTCTCTTCACAGCCCAGTCACTCGGTTATTAATCCAAATTGCTATCCCAACATGCCTGATATGCAGCAGCTGTAAACAGAAAGAATAAATGGTTAAGAGAAAGCAATGCTAGTACACCAAATTATTAGCAAACCTGAACTTCAGTGTCCAAGATATACATACCATATATAGTCATCATGACTAATAATAATTCAATAATAATTTATTTTTTATACCCCGCCCATCTGGCTGGGTTTCCCCAGCCACTCTGGGCGGCTCCCAACTGAATATTAAAAACACAATACACAATACTGTGTATGCACTATGCCTTTAAAACTCAATCAAATGACATTCTTTCCCTCAAAGAATTCTGGGCACCGTAGTTTAGCGCTTACAGAGTTACAGTTCCCATCAACCCTGAACAAACTGCAGTGCCCAGAATTCTTTGAGGGAAAGAATGTGCTTTAAAGGGATGGTGTGTGCGCACAGCTAGTAGTGACAAAAGATGGTCCTCTAGTAGTGCATTAATTTTTTTTAAAAAACCACATTGAGACATCGCAGGAGTTTAGGGTGATCACCTGTGCGTTTGCCAAAAAGGACAAAAGATTTACAGATTTGCATACATTCTGCACGTGCTAATTCTTAGATAGATAGATGCAAATTTAGAAATAATTGCTAGGATTTAAACTGCATATGATGCATTGCACCATACTGGGGAAGACGGCCCTGGTCACTTGCAAACTATTGATTGGCAACTACTATTTTTATTTTATTTATGTATTGAATTTATATACCATCCTATACTCGGAGGTCTCAGGGTGGTTCACAGAATTTTAGATTTCCGTTACCACCAAGTCACATGCAATTTAAGAAGTTCTACCCAATTCTGTAGATTTCTGGATGTTGGCAGAAACTGAAAATTGGTTTTCAGTGTGTCATGAGATAGTTCTTTCAGGCATGTAGCTCTTTTTCTCTTTTTAAACTGGGCTTGCATCAGGCAACAAGAGGACTGCACTCCAAGTGGGACACTTGCACACGCTACCAAAAGCCAGTGTCGTGTAGCGCTGAGAATCCTGGACCTGGGAGACCAGGGCTCAAATCTTCACACAGTTGTGGGGCTCCCCTTGGAGCCAGTCACTCACTCTCAGCCTAACCTACCTCTCAGGGTTGTTGTGGGAATTAAAAGAGGGTGGGGGAGAATTACGTACACCACCTTGAGATCCTTAGAGAAAAGTTGGGCTATAAACGCAAGAAATAAATAGTAACAAATAAAGAACATTTCAGCCATCACGTTACAGAAGTTTGGTTCTGTTGCCTAGTTTCCATTTAAGTTTTGTTGTTGTTTAGTCGTGTCCGACTCTTCGTGACCCCATGGACCAGAGCACGCCAGGCACTCCTGTCTTCCACTGCCTCCCACAGTTTGGTGAAACTCATGCTGGTAGCTTCGAGAACACTGTCCCACCATCTCGTCCCCTGCCGTCCCCTTCTCCTTGTGCCCTCCATCTTTCCCAACATCAGGGTCTTTTCCAGGGAGTCTTCTCTTCTCATGAGGTGGCCAAAGTATTGGAGCCTCAGCTTCAGGATCTGTCCTTCCAGTGAGCACTCAGGGCTGATTTCCTTCAGAATGGAGAGGTTTGATCTTCTTACAGTCCATGGGACTCTCAAGAGTCTCCTCCAGCACCATAATTCAAAAGCATCAATTCTTCGGCGATCAGCCTTCTTTATGGTCCAGCTTTCACTTCCATACATCACTACTGGGAAAACCATAGCTTTAACTATACGGACCTTTGTTGGCAAGGTGATGTCTCTGCTTTTTAAGATGCTGTCTAGGTTTGTCATCGCTTTTCTCCCAAGAAGCAGGCATATTTTAATTTTGTGACTGCTGTCACCATCTGCAGTGATCATGGAGCCCAATAAAGTAAAATCTCTCACTGCCATTTAAGTTTGGTTTCCCTTATTTCCCACCAGGCTGTTGCGCTCTGAGAATTATTTATCATCTCAACAACACAAAGATCAAAACAGGGAAGGGGGCATAGAAAGGAGACTTACACCAAGCCTTCAGCACAGTCTTCGGGCCCCAGAGATTTTTCCTGGGGGAAACAGTCCTTGCGGCAGTAGCCTCGGAAGTTTCCGCAACCCCATTCTCCAGTGCGAACATCCAGACCTGTGAACGGCAACAGCAGAAAGGAAAAACCAAGCACATAAATGCCCTCTTAAAAGATAGGTTCTGTTGCAGTACGCCCAGAGAGGGAGATTTTTTTCGGGGCTAAATCATTGTGGCATGGTTTTTGTCTGCTGCAAGCAACAGGGAATTTCATTCTTCCCTTGATATCTTCTCCCTTTGGGGAAGCATAATGCACAGGTGTTGGGCAAGGGCTGTGGCTCAGCAGCAGAGCATCTGTGTGCAGAAGGTTCCGAACTGTGTTCAGAATGCCCGCCATCTTCAAGCAGGGAAGGGAGAAACTGCAAGTCATTGCAGACAATACTGGGATGCGTGGACCACTGGCTGGACTCGGCAGACTTCTTCACACACATTACACTCTACAGTGGTACCTCGGGTTAAGTACTTAATTCGTTCCGGAGGTCCGTTCTTAACCTGAAATTGTTCTTAACCTGAAGCACCACTTTAGCTAATGGGGCCTCCTGCTGCCGCCGCACCGCCGAAGCCTGATTTCTGTTCTCATCTTGAAGCAAAGTTCTTAACCTGAAGCACTATTTCTGGGTTAGCAGAGTCTGTAACCTGAAGCGTATGTAACCCGAGGTACCACTGTACACATATAATAATATAATAATTTGTTATTTATACCCCGCCCATCTGGCTGGGTTTCCCCAGGCACTCTGGGCGGCTCCAGACTGAATATTAAAAACAATACAGCGTCAGACATTAAAAACATCCCTAAACAGGGCTGCCTTCAGTTGTCTTTTAAATTTAAAATAGTTGTTTATTGCCTTGACATCAGCTGGGAAGGCGTTCCACAGGGCAGGTGCCACTACCGAGAAGACCCTCTGCCTGGTTCCCTGCAACCTCCCTTCTTACAGGGAGGGAACCGCCAGAAGGCCCTTGGAGCTGGACCTCAATGTCCAGGCTGGGCGATGGGGGTAGAGAAGCTCCTTCAGGAATACTGGACCCAGGCCGTTTAGGGCTTTAAAGGTCAGCACCAACACTTTGAATTGTGCTCAGAATCGTACTGGGAGCCAATGACAAACTTTGGGACAAACTCTGTCTACGCATTCCTGCATTGCAGGGGGTTGGACTAAATGACCCTTCTTGCAGTTAAAATATTTCAAAGCAATACAGTCTTTGCATCTAGACAGCGGTGAAGCTCACCGGGTGACCTGGGCCACTTACCACCTCAGCCTCACTTACCTCACATTGTGGGGATAAAATAGGAATGGCAGAATCATAGAATTGTCAAGTGGGAAGCTACCCCTAAGGGTCCTCAGTCTAACCCCCTACCAGCCTCTGCTTAAAAATTGTGTGTGCCACTCCAAGTTCCTTTGAGGAAAGGGGATTGATTTTTTTTTAAGGTCAAGGGATAAGGGATACTGATAGTTACCCCTCTACAAATTAAGGGATGAGGGATATTGCCCCATACTCACAGACAGCAGCAGCTATAGCCAGGAACAGCACCAGCAAAAAGAAATTAAGGTTCACAAAGGCAGCCATTTCCTTGGAGAGACTTCAAGATGAAGCAGACCGACTTGGCTCCACAAACTCCTTCTGCTTAGAAATCCACTGGGGACAATTGCACCGTTCAATGAGATCCCTTTGAATTGATATTCCCACAGGACAAGGGAGTCCCTAAGAGCAAATCTGTAGTGTGTAGAGGGGGAAAGAGCTGTATGGATTGAGGAGCCAATGGCGGGTGGCGTATCTTATGACACACCGTTAATGAAATTAAAAAGCTGGCCCATTGGCCTGGTCACAAGAAACCTATTGGAGACTTCTGAAGAGAACCCCTGTTTGGGGTCAGGAGATGAAGAGGTTTTGCCTGACTCGGCGGGTAAGGATTTCAATTAGTGTTAACAACATACACTAGAGTCCCTATGGATCAGTCCAAGGGCTGCCAACTTTTTGGAAGAGGGGACACATTTTGAATTTTGAGAGTCCTGGGGGTGCCCCTCACATAATAGCTTCCACAGAGGAGGCATGGCACAATGCAAAATGGCTGGCTGTGGGGAACGGCTTAACCCAAAATGAGAGGGACAACCACTCTTAACAGCCTTATATTTACCATGGGAAGACAGCTATGTTCTGATTATGGAGATCACACACACACACAGGTGATGTTGCTGTCTAATAACAACAGAGCAGCAAAACAACAACACCACAAACTGGCTTATAAGTATAAAACCAAAGTTACTAGAATAATAACTAGAATAGAGATAGACTTGTAAGCATTCAAACAACAAGCATACTAAGGTGCCATACTTATAAGCCAGTTTGTGGTGGTGTTGTTTTGTTGTTGTATTATTACTGTCACCACATTTGATACTTTGTGTATGTAATAACAACAGGGAACATTCCCCAGTACCAGGAACAAATCACAACGTGCCCACACCACACTCCTTTCACAGATACGACCTAGAAGAAGCTGCACACTATGCCTCAAATTTTTATTTCTCACAGGGCTACAGACATGCTTTTTTCAAAGCAAAAGCTCAGAATCTGGGGCACCTGCCCAGTTGCACCACTGGAAGCCTTTATGGTTTAATAGGCAATCTCTCTATCCAGGCAATTCTGGGGACTCTAGCTTTGCGAGGGGAGAGTTGGGGTCCCTTCCAACTCTACAATTCTGTGGTATCATACTGTATCACTTTAGATGCATGGAAAATGTGGTCCAAGTCCACCAAGGTGCTCTCCTAACTCGTAGATGGAGCTGGCCCTACCAGGAGGCCAAGTGAGGCAGCTGCCTCAGGCAGCCAATGCTGAAGGGTGGCGAGGGGACAGAGCTTTTGAGTGTGTGCCATGAAGTCTTTCTTGGGCCCCTGAAGCTCCCCTGCTCCCCTTGGAGGCAATGGAGGATGCCAAAGTGAGATTCAGGTTACATCCGCACGGTGCTTTTAAGGCACATGGCTTCTCCCAAAGAATTCCAGGAAGTATCATCTGCCCCTTACAGAAGCACAGTTCCCAGCACCCTCGGTGAATTCCACTTCCCAGGATTCTTTGGGGGGAAGTCATGTGCTTGAAACCTCAGTTGCCAGTCTAGTCAGCTTTTGCACATGGAATGGAGAGAGGCAACATCTAGGAGTCTTGGTTGACCACAAACTTGACATGAGCCAACAGTGTGACGCGGCAGCCAAAAAAGCCAATGCAATTCTGGGCTGCATCAATAGGAGTATAGCATCTAGATCAAGGGAAGTAATAGTGCCACTGTATTCTGCTCTGGTCAGAGCTCACCTGGAGTACTGTGTCCAGTTCTGGGCACCACAGTTCAAGAAGGACACTGACAAACTGGAACGTGTCCAGAGGAGGGCAACCCAAATGGTCAAAGGCCTGGAAACGATGCCTTATGAGGAACGGCTAAGAGAGCTGGGCATGTTTAGCCTGGAGAAGAGGAGGTTAAGGGGTGATATGATAGCCATGTTCAAATATATAAAAGGATGTCACATAGAGGAGGGAGAAAGGTTGTTTTCTGCTGCTCCAGAGAAGCGGACACGGAGCAATGGATCCAAACTACGAGAAAGAAGATTCCACCTAAACATTAGGAAGAACTTCCTGACAGTAAGAGCTGTTCGACAGTGGAATTTGCTGCCAAGGAGTGTGGTGGAGTCTCCTTCTTTGGAGGTCTTTAAGCAGAGGCTTGACAACCATATGTCAGGAGTGCTCTGATGGTGTTTCCTGCTTGGCAGGGGGTTGGACTCAATGGCCCTTGTGGTCTCTTCCAACTCTATGATTCTATGATTCTTGTTCTTTGCCTCAGGCAGCAAAGTGTGTTGGGCCAGCCCTGATTGTGGAGGTTATGTCCGACAAAGCACATCATCATTTTATTATTTATATGCCACCCATTGGATTGGGTTGCCCCAGCCACTCTGGGTGGCTTCCAGCAAAATATCAACAACAACAACAAACAACAACAACAACTTCTCCTCTGTACAGGGCTGCCTTCAGATGTCTTCTAAAAGTCAGATAGATGTTTATTTCCTTGCAATCTTATGGGTGGGTGTTCCACAGGGCAGGTGCCACTACTGAGAAGGCTCTCTGCCTGGTTCCCTGTAATCTCACTTATTGCAGCAATAATAATAATAATAATAATAATAATAATAATAATAATTTGTTTGTACCCCACCCATCTGGCTGGGTTTCCCCAGCCACTCTGGGCAGCTTCCAATATTAAAAATACATTAAAATGTCACACATTAAAAACTTCCCTAAACAGGGCTGCCTTCAGATGTCTTCTAAATGTCAGGTAGTTGTTTATCTGTTTGACATCTGATGGGAGGGCGTTCCACAGGGCGGGCGCCACTACCAAGAAGGCCCTCTGCCTGGTTCCATGTAACTTGGCTTCTCGCAGCGAGGGAACTGCCAGAAGGCCCTCTGCGCTGGACCTCAGTGTCTGGGCAGAACGATGGAGGTGAAGACGCTCCTGCAGGTATACTGGGCTAAGGCCGTTTAGGGCTTTAAAGGTAAGCACCAACACTTTGAATTGTGCTCGGAAACATACTGAGGGAACCAACAGAAGGCCCTTGGTGCTGGACCTCAGTGTCCGGGCTAGATGATGGGGATGGAGATGTTCCTTCAGGTATACAGGGCAAAGGACGTTTGGCGCTTTAAAGGTAAGCACTAGCACTTTGAATTGTGCTTAGAAACGTACTTTGCAGCAATTGTTTGCATCTTCTAAAACACTCTATCAGCAAACTAGCTTGAGAAATACCAGCAAAATGGCACCTTGCCATTCAAGATAACCATCTGCTTAGCGGAGCTAGGCGGGAAGGAGGGGTGTCACACCATTTGCCAACGCCTTGTGCATCATGCTATTCTGCTTTGGGTAGAGAAGGGTCATTCAGTCCTCTGGGCTGCGGAAGCCCTTGGATTCCTTACTAGAATAATAATGATGATTTTGCTCCTCTCCACCATGCCCCCTGGTCCATGTGCGTATTTGCTGACCCCAAATTACACTCCTGAGACAGTGATGGGAAGAGAGGAAATGCGAGGAAGTTCGTGTTTGCATCCGACTTCTCATCTTCATGCCCTGTAAGAACCATGAAGGAAGTTGATCCAGAATTCCTCCTGGTGGTTTGGCAAGGCATGGAGGCCACAGTTGCACAGTTCATGTTGGCGCATAGCCTCAGCTGCTCCTTGGCCCATATTGTTTCTACAGAAGGTGCCAAGTACATTTTTCTCATGGATAATCCTTGTTGGTGTGGCCCCATCTGCACGGGACACTTAAAGCAGTGCCGTGCTGCTTTCAACAATCATAGCTTCTCCCAAAGAATCCTGGGAACAGAGTTGTTTGGAGTTTTCCAGACAGCTCCCTGACAGTTTACACAGAATGTAAAGGCAGCCCATGTTCCCCAAGTCTCGTCCAGAGCTCAGGAGAGCATGCCGGTGTCCCACAACTCTGATCTTATACGTTCAGTGTTATGTACTGAGTTGAATAGGATCCAAAAGGCAGCAGTCTGATTGGTCCTAGAACAATAGGATCCAGAATGCAGCAGTCTGATTGGTCCTAGAACAATAGGATTAGAATGCAGCAGTCTGATTGGTCCTAGAACAATAGGACCCAGAATGCAGCAGTCTGGTTGGTCCACAGGAGCCACCCAATCCAGCTCCAGGTGGAAGGGAATCCGCAACCTGATTGGCCTACAGGAGAATCCCAGAATTAGCCAATCACGTGGGGCCCATTGTGTAAATAATGTATATAAGGCAGACATTCCATTCCTCCTCACCACTATGAGCTGAATAAAGAGCATGAAATCCACTCTCGACTCCGAGTATATTTCATTCAGTAAGCTGGATTTCAAGCATCTAGACAGGCAAGGAATTGAGAACCCTGACGCTGGCAATTGTACACACTTTAGTGATCAAATAGGGAAACTTTTATTAGAAAAAAAAGGTAGGAGGAAAGCAGGCTGCAGAATGTATACCGAGTCATCTTTGGAACTTGCCTCTCCTTGATGCCTTTAAAAAAATATTTATCTAAATGGAGGGACTCATCACAGCCCCATCTGCGCCTTTATATCTGTAAGAACAACAAACTGCCTCTTTCACAGCAGGACTTGGAACCAAGACCTCTCTCTGCATAACAAGCAGGATGTTGGCAGTAACCTGACCACAACATTCCCCTCTTCCTATTTTGAACAGGAACCCTGACCTGTTTGGATCACGCAACCTTCCTGCCGCTGCGTCCGGTCCTTGCTTCCCCACGGCCAGCCAGAGAGGAAAAACGTTGGCCTTTGATTTTGGAAATGAAATGTGGTGCTTCCTCCAGAAAGGAGGAAAATAACTGGGCGATAAACACACGCAAATGAAACGAGGCGGGTTGGCTCGTATTTGTGCGTGTTCACAAACCTTATCTGAGCTGGAGAAAACAAACTCTTTACATGTGGAACTCTCTCTGCCTAATGAAGTGTGTGTGGCCTCATCTCCTCCTGGCTTCAGGAAGTTGGTCAACAAGACACATCTTTTTTGCATGGCATTTGGGGAAGAGAGTGGATACTGCTGCTATTAGTCATTGTTGTGCATTTTCAATGCAACGAGCTGTGTTTTTTCCTGTTATGGATGTTACGTATTCTTGATCTACTTGTTTTTACTGTAAGCCACCTTTTGGCTAGTGCAAACCGGGGAGGGGGGTACTATAAATCATGTAAATAATGTTACATGCGACCCCTATTTCCAAGCGGCGAGAGACTCCAGGGGTTCCAGGCACTTACCCAGGCTTGATTTGCACATACATTTAACAGTTTGAAAGCACACCAGTGCAAGTAGATAAATAGGTACCACTGCGGCGGGAATGTAAACGGTGTTTCCATGTGCTCTGGTTTCCGCCGCGGTGTTCCGTTGTGCCAGAAGCAGTTTAGTCCTGCTGGCCACATGACCTGGATAGCTGTCTGTGGACAAACGCCGACTCCCTTGACCTGAAGGCAAGATGAGCTCCACAACCCCAGAATCACCTTTGACTGGACTTAACAGTCCAGGGGTCCTTTGCCTTTACCTTTTTTACATTTAACCTGGCAGTGATGCCAAAACAGATCTTGCTTCTCCATTAGCACAGATCAAGCATGGCTAGCTACCAGCCTGCTTCCAGCTCAGATCACACACCCTGCTCTGGCTATTGTTCTCCTACCTAGCAGCCAGGTGACAGTGGTGGATGAAAAGCCCACACATTAGACGGGAGGGCATCATCCCTTAGTTTTAGTTCTTGCAACTGAGATTATTTCGAGATGCTGATGGCCAGCTAAGGTCATTGCCTGACCAGTCTAGCAACCTCCTCAATTAGATTCCAACCCTTACTGGGCACAGGACCCCAGGTACTGGAAGGGATTAAGGGTGTCATTGAACTGACCCCCCCCCCGGCAAAAAAAACCGCTACAACATTAAATGTTTACAGCACATGCTGCTTGAGTAAAAATGTAAAAAAAGGGGGGGGTAGAGCATGGGTAGGCAAACTAAGGTCCAGGGGCCAGATTCGGCCCAATCCTTGTCTAAATCTGGCCCATGGTTGGTCCGGGAAATAGTGTGTTTTTACATGAGTAGAATGTGTGTTTTTATTTAAAACGCATCTATGGGTTATTTGTGGGGCATAGGACTTCGTTCATTTTTTTTTTCAAATTATAGTCTGGCCCCCCACAAGGTCTGAGGGACAGAGGACCAGCCCCCTGCTGAAAAAGTTTGCTGAAGAAGAAGAGGAGTTTGGATTTGATATCCCGCCTTTCACTCCCTTTAAGGAGTCTCAAAGCGGCTAACATTCTCCTTTCCCTTCCTCCCCCACAACAAACACTCTGTGAGGTGAGTGGGGCTGAGAGACTTCAGAGAAGTGTGACTGGCCCAAGGTCACCCAGCAGCTGCATGTGGAGGAGCGGAGACGCGAACCTGGTTCCCCAGATTAGGAGTCTACCGCTCTTAACCACTACACCACACTGGCTCTCAACACTGCTGACCCCTGGGATAGAGGAAAAATAGGGATGCCTGCCCTGGACCACCACTTGCTATGCTTGCTGGAAGCGGGGATCCTTGCCCAGACTCAGTCCTGGTGCCAGCCTTCATTTTTATATAAATTTACAGTAGTACCTCAGGTTACATACACTTCAGGTTACATACGCTTCAGGTTACAGACTCCACTAACCCAGAAATAGTACCTCGGGTTAAGAACTGTGTTTCAGGATGAGAACAGAAATCGTGCTCTAGTGGCGTGGCGGCAGCAGGAGGTCCCATTAGCTAAAGTGATGCTTCAGGTTAAGAACAGTTTCAGGTTAAGAACAGACCTTCGGAACGAATTAAGTACTTAACCCGAGGTACCACTGTATACAAATATGAAATTTTGCCATTTTTTTAAAAAAAGGTGTGGTTTTGAAAGCAGTTGTTTGCACTCACATCCTCAGGAACAGCGAAATGGTGAGCAGGTGCCTTACGCCAGCATCAATTTGAAAAACACTTGCTATTCCCCATGGCAATGGAATATTGAAAAGCTTTCAAACGAAATGGCATTCCGAATGAATGTTATCAGTGACTGCAGTCGGGAAGATTCCACAGCACACCAACTTGTGTGTTTATGCTGATATCAGAGAACACTTTCTGGAGCCCTCTTGAAAGAGAATGAAGTACTGGGGAGGGGAGGAGAAACTGGGCTTTCTGTTGCAAGCAACAAGCCGGGATGCGCCTTCATTGACTTCATTTGCAGCAAAGGCCACCAGATAACAGGGAAATTCTTGGGACTCCATTTCTGCAAACTGGCAGTAGAAAATGAGAGTATGAAATGTGTCCTGGAAACAATTCCTGAATGCCACCCGATCTTGCGCTGGGTTTTGTTTTTTATGCAATAGCAATGCTTATCTGTTTTAAAAGTTCTGTTTATTCTAAGGATATTAATACATTTTATATATTCGTTTTAGAGCAACCTTTGCACTTTTTTGGGGGGGGGGAATTGGACACTTGGGGTTTTTTGTTTGTTTGTTTCAATCTGCTGTGGTCCATGGTCCATAATAAGTGTTATTCATTCATGATAGCAGTTACGGTAATGCCCTGGGGTTCCCAGGAGAAGTGGAAACAAGACAAAGAGGGCAGATCACAAAGCAGATCAGGACCCTGGACAGCTCCCAGGCAATGCCCCCCACCCCATACTGCTCCTACTAAGCGGAGCTTGGAAGGTGTCTCAGCCAAGAGATGTGGCCATCCAACACCTTATTATAGGTAGATCTCATCTTACGTGGAGGTTACACTCCTGGCTATCCTTACAAAATCACGTAAAGCCAGGATGACCCTCTGGAACGGCCCTGCGCAACCATTGCTACCTGTCCAAAGCTGGTGCTAAGCAGACCTTGCCCCCACCCCCAGGTGGAGAGATTTTTAAGGCCCCCACCTTGCTTACAGCCTGACCAAGAAGCAGAAACCAGAAAGAAAGGGAGGGGGTGTGCAGCTGCCTCTATACAAATGAATGGCGAAAATTCCTTTGGAAGAGTTTCCTTTCGCCCAACACCTGGTAGCTTGGACTTCCGCAGGGCGGGTGGCAATTTGTCTCTTGACACAAAGGTCTTCAAGGTTTATTGTGAGAAACACTGACGAACATTATCTGGATCCATAACTGAACAGGGAGTCAAATGATGTATCTGAGGACTTGCCCTGGTTGTAATATGTGAGATTTGACTAGGAACAATGAGTTTTACCGGTGTTGTCTTGGACAACGCTTTTCTCATAAACATAGTTAACAGTCTTTCTTACGGTCCTTTCTCCCCTACTTTTTTTAATGAGTGAGAAAGTAAACAACGGACAGAAGCGCATTCCTTTATGCTTGTTGCAGTCTGCGGCACGGTTTACATCTTTTAGGAAGTACAGTGGTACCTCTGATTAAAAACTTAATTCGTTCCGGAGGTTAGTTCTTAACCTGAAACCGTTCTTAACCTGAGGCGCATTTTCACTAATGGGGCCTCCCACTGCCACCCCACGATTTCTGTTCTCATCCTGGGGCAAAGTTCTTAACCCGAGGTACTACTTCCGGGTTTGCGGAGTCTGTAACCCAAAGTGTTTGTAACCCGAGGTACCACTGTAGTGGAAAAGATGAGACATTATAGACTCCACGAGAAAGTGCTTACTTTGCCTTGCTGACTTCACATGCAGGGGTTGTGATGTTCAAAGGTTCCCTTGCCGCATGTGCAGCTTCCAGGAGACTTGAGCAGGAAGAACCAGCTGCACAGATATAAAATGGGGGACACCTGGCTTGACAGCGGAGCATGTCAAAGGATCTTGGGGTCTTGGTGGGCCACAGGTTTAGGTGAGTCAACAGTGCAACAAAAAAAAAGCTAGTGTGATTCTAGGCTACATCAACAGAAGTGTAGCGTCCAGATCAAGGGAAATAATAGTCCTGCTCTATCATGCCTTGGTCAGATCACACCTGGAGTCCTGTGTCCAGTTGTGGGAACCACATTTTCAGGAGGATACTGCTGGAACATGTGCAGAAGAGGGCAACCAAGATATAAGGGTCTAGAAACCAGGCAATATGAGGGACAGTTGAGGGAATTGGGTATGTTCAGCCTGAAGAGAAGATTGAGATGTGATAGGATAAAGGTAAAGGGACTCCTGACCATTAGGTCCAGTTGCGGATGACTCTGGGGTTGCGGCTCTCATCTCGCTTTATTGGCTGAGGGAGCCGGCGTACAGCTTCCGGATCATGTGGCCAGCATGACTAAGCCGCTTCTGGCGAACCAGAGCAGCGCACGGAAACGCTGTTTACCTTCCTGCCAGAGCAGTACCTATTTATCTAGTTGCACTTTGACGTGCTTTCGAACTGCTAGGTTGGCAGGAGCAGGGACTGAGCAACGGGAGCTCACCCCGTTGCGGGGATTCGAACCGCCGACCTTCTGATCGGCAAGCCCTAGGCTCTGTGGTTTAACCCACAGCGCCACCCGTATCCCATGTGATAGGATAGCCATCTTCAAATATCTCAAAGATGGAAGATGGAGCAAGCTTGTTTTCTGCTGCTTCATTGGAGTCAAGTTACAAAGAAGAAAATTCTGACTAAAAGTTAGGAAGAACTGTCCGATAGTAAGAGCCATTCAACAGTGGAACAGACTACGTACCTCAGAAGGTGGTGAACGCTTCTTCATTGCGGGTTTTTACGCAGAGGTTAGGTGGCTATCTGCCAGGGATTCTTTAGCTGTGATTAGGGGCTAGACTAAACCATGCTTGGGGTCCCTTTCCAATCCTATGGCCTCTATGATGCAAGTAATCCTCTTAGCGGCAGAGGGCAGATGTATACGGAAACGTAATAATCTGCCTCATACTGAATCAGACTCTTGATACATCTAACTCAGGGGATGTGGGTGGCGTTGTGGTCTAAACCACTGAGCCTCCTGGGCTTGCTGATCGGAAGATCGGTGGTTCAAATCCTTGTGACAGGGTGAGCTCCCGTTGCCCTATCCCAGCTCCTGCCAATCTAGCAGTTCGAAAGTACGCCAGGGCAAGTAGATAGATACCGCTGCGGCGGGAAGGTAAACGGCATTTACATGCGCTCTGGCTTCCGTCACGGTGTCCCATTGCACCAGAAGCAGTTTAGTCCTGCTGGCCACATGACCCGGAAAGCTGTCTGTGGACAAACATCGGCTCCCTCGGCCTGAAAGCGACATGAGAGCCGCAACCCCATAGTTGCCTTTGACTGGACTTAACCATTCAGGGGTCCTTTACCTTTAACATCTAGCTTAGTACTGTCAACACTGACAGGCAGCAGGGCTCCATGATTTTAGGCAGGGGACATTAGAGCCCTACTTGGAAATGCCACGCACTGAACCTGGGAACTTCTGCCTGCAAAGCAGATGCAGAAGGTCCCGCTGAGCTATTGCCCTTCTGCAATCTGCGCTATCTGCAGACTGAAAGAATCAACGGGACCCAGAGAGCCACAGTACGGCATGGGATAATGAACACTGCTTAGCTAATGGGTAGGCAAACTAAGGCCCGGGGGCCGGATCCGGCCCAATCGCCTTCTCAATCCGGCCCGCGGACAGTTCAGGAATCAGCGTGTTTTCACATGAGCAGAATGTGTGCTTTTATTTAAAATGCATCTCTGGGTTATTTGTGGGGCATAGGAATTTGTTCATTTCCCCCCCAAAAAATAGTCCAGCCCCCCACAAGGTCTGAGGGACAGCTGAGGCCCACAGCTGAAAAAGGTTACTGACCCCTGGCTTAGCTCCTGTTTGTTTTATCTTGGAGTGCACAGTGTGAGTCTCTTGAAAGAAGCACCATCAGGGCATGCGTGAGGCTCACCCCAGAACCAGCTTAGGCTGGAAGTTCCGCAAGTGAAGTTTTATTATCTGGAAAATGGTCAGTAAAAGCTACTTTTAGATCATTTTATTATTCTTTTAGGCCTTTTAAAGGGCTGCAAGCCACCTGACTAGTTCCCTAAAGGCACTGTAAGAGTTTTAGAAGTTTTGGAGCTATATAAAAGTTTGTAGTAAACAGAAGCGAGTAGACGCACATCGTGAAAGATACACGTGGACTTTCGATGAGCTTTTGCATAACAGATCCCCATAACTTGTTTTAAGGCTGCGAAGTTCTGCACTGATTTTTTGGGAAAACCCAAAACAAACACAAAATTCGATGTCCCCAATTACTAGTCTTGCGAGAGAGGGATTTCCCCCCACACCTTTCTCTTTCCATGTATAATGTTATAAACTTCTATCTTGTCATAGAACTTCTATCACTGTAGCTGTCTCAGAGAAAAATAATATCCGAATGACCAGTGCTACTTTTTCTTTGAAAAAGAGGTGCTGGAGCTCACAATGAAATTCTCCCTTGTTCTCTTAGAACGGCAATGGCGCACACCTGAGAGGTGCTGGCACTGACAGAGGAAGAGGGGGGTGGGGTGCCATCGCGGCTGCCCCACAGGCAGCATACCATGCCCCCAGGATGCACACCAGCCACGCCCCCGCCTGCTCTCCGCCCCCGGTGCCAGAGAATGCAGCTCCACCAGTGGGTGCTGGAACTGAGTCCTTGTGTGCTCCAGCTGAAAAAAGCCCTGCTAATGGCTCTCAGAATGATCTTGGGAGAAAAGCAGTGACAAACCTAGACAGCATCTTAAAAAGCAGAAACATCACCTTGCCAACAAAGGTCCGTCTAGTTAAAGCTATGGTTTTCCCAGTAGTGATGTATGGAAGTGAGAGCTGGACCATAAAGAAGGCTGATCGCCAAAGAATGGATGCTTTTGAATTATGGTGCTGGAGGAGACTCTTGGGAGTCCCATGGACTGCAAGAAGATCAAACCTCTCCATTCTGAAGGAAATCAGCCCTGAGTGCTCACTGGAAGGACAGATCCTGAAGCTGAGGCTCCAAGACTTTGGCCACCTCATGAGAAGAGAAGACTCTCTGGAAAAGACCCTGATGTTGGGAAAGATGGAGGGCACAAGGAGAAGGGGACGACAGAGGACGAGATGGTTGGACAGTGTTCTCGAAGCTACCAGCATGAGATTGACCAAACTGCGGGAGGCAGTGGAAGACAGGAGTGCCTGGCGTGCTCTGGTCCATGGGGTCACGAAGAGTCGGACACGACTAAACGACTAAACAACAACAACAATGCCTCTCAAACAGAGTTTCACACAGAAAGACACCATATAATTGTTTTAAAACAAATAAACAAAATAAATGTTCCATTTTTTTAATTTTCATTTTCAAAAACAGGAACAGAGAGCATATTGAACCCCCTAAATCCATTTCAGGGCCTAATCTGGCCCGCCAGTCGGTTTAATCCGGCCCCTGTGGCAGTTTATTTCCTAAAATCCTAAAAAAAAATTCTAAAAAAAATCCTAAAAAAAACCCTCAACAACTCCACCCCTAAAAAAAGCAGCTACTCCAACCCCCACGGCCCTTCACTTCATCAAATCTAGCCCTCTCTTTGAAAGAAGCTTGGAGACCACTGCCCTAAAGGTTTCTCATAAATAAATTCTAGAGAGTTTAGTAGGGTTTACTGTTCCGTATATGTGCAACAGGGTCTGTAGCTTTACAATTCACTCCCAGGCTTGTTTACGTGGAATTACGCCCTGCTAAATTCATAGAAACATAGAACTGTTGGGGACTTGGGAGGTACCCAAAAGTATCCAGCCCAACCCCCTGCAATGAAGGAATCACAGCTAATTTAACGGAGCTTACGCCCAAATATGCATACACGGGGCACCTGCAACCGCGGCACGCATTTTCCCAGGAGAAAGGGGCACTATCCAACTCAGTTTTACCCAGTTTTCAACAGACTTGTTAAAATTACCGTATTTTTCGCCCTATAGGACGCACTTTTTCCCCTCCAAAAATGAAGGGGAAATGTGTGTGCGTCCTATGGGGCGAATACAGGCTTTTGCTGAAGCCTGGTGAGCGATAGGGGTCGGCTGCCTGCGCTCCCGGGCTCGGTGCAGCTCCGCGCAACCCCCCGGAGCCCGGCGCGAAGCTGCGCCGGGCTCCCGAAGGTTGTGCAAGCTCCCAGAGCGATGCCGAAGCTGCGCTCAGGCTTCCCCCGCCCCAGCCCCGTGCCTGGGGGGGGGGGGATAAATTTTTTCCCCCTTTATTTCCCCCCCCCAAAATCTAGGTGTGTCCTATGGGCCGGTGCGTCCTATAGGGCGAAAAATACGGTAATTCAAAAAAGGCCACCTACTGTGGACGCGGGTGGTGCTGTGGTCTAAACCACTGAGCCTCTTGGGCTTGCCGATCGGATGGTTGGCGGTTCAAATCCCCGTGACGGGGTGAGCTCCTGTTGCTCGGTCCCTGCTCCTGCCAACCTAGCAGTTCGAAAGCACGTCAAAGTGAAAGATAAATAGGTGGGAAGGTAAACGGCGTTTCCGTGCACTGCTCTGGTTCACCAGAAGTGGCTTAGTCCTGCTGGCCACATGACCTGGAAGCTGTACGCCGGCTCCCTCGGCCAGTAAAGCGAGATGAGAGCCGCAACCCCAGAGTTGGCCACGACTGGACCTAATGGTCAGGGGTCCCTTTACCTTTACTGTTTAACCAGCTCCAACTTCACACTATTTGCACAAGGGGAGGGTTTAGGCAGGCAATTACTTTGCTCCTGTTAGTTTATTGATGGGGCAGGCCCAGGAATAATTCTGAGGAGCATTATGCTCGATTCAATTTAAATGAACTAAAACAGCTGAAACTGCTAAAACTCGCCGAATTGAATCAGATACATATGTTTTTTCTTTTGCAATATTTCTGCAAAAAACAAACAAACACTGATTATTGTTATTATTATTCATTTATATGCTGCCTAATAATAATAATATGTATTCATAGATTTATTATTATTGTTGTTGTTGTACTATTAGTCATACCTCGGGATAAATACGCTTCAGGATAAGTATTTTCGGGCTGCTCTCCACGGTGACCTGGAAACAATGGAGCATGCTCGCGCATGCGTAGACGGTCAAAATGATGTCACGCACATGTGCAGAAGCGGCGAACGCGACCTGCGCACGCGCAGACACGTCTCACATTCTGTTCAGGATGCGAAGGGGCTCTGGAACGTATCCCATTCGCATCCCGAGGTACCACTGTATAGTATATTATATTATTATTATTAATTTATTATTATCATCAGTAGCAGCTGTTACTATTATTATTATTAATTTATTATCATCAGTAGCAGCTGTTGTTATTATTATTAATAATAATTTATTATTATCATCAGTAGCAGCTGTTATTATTATTATTAATTTATACACCACCTAATAATATTTATTCATATATTCATAATAATACTATTATGATACTATACTATATTATTATTATTACTTATTATCATCAGTAGCAGCTGTTATTATTAATTTATACACCACCTAATAATAATATTTATTCATATATTCATAATACTAACACTATTATACTATATTATTGTTATTAATTATTATCATCAGTAGCAGCTGTTATTGTTATTAATTTATACACACCTAATAATATTTATTCATATATTCATAATAATAATACTGATACTATACTATATTATTATTCTTACTACTTATTATCATCAGTAGCAGCTATTATTAATTTATACACCACCTAATAATATTTATTCCTATATTAATAACAACAACAACAACAACACTGATACTATACTGCATTATTATTATTAATTTATTACAAGGTGCCTCATGATATTCTTGTAAAGAAGCTGGTAAA